AAATTGTACTACAAGGTTCCATATCACAAAGGGAAAGCTGGGTTAGAGTTTGGGGGTAATTGCCCTAAACGTTTAGGAATTTGGGGCCAAGAAGGGGCCAAAAAGGGGGAAAAAACAAGCATTTTTCTAGTTTCCAGACAATAACTTGTGTTCAAGTGTATGGATCTCTTTGAAATTGTACTGCAAGGTACCATACCACAAAGAGAAGGCTGGGATTGAGTTTGGGGGTGATAAATCATAAGGGGGTTTAAAAAATTTGGGGGGGGATTTTTTTTTTCCTTTTTTTCTTTACAATTTTCCATTTTAAATTGGTTATTTCTGATTTATATATAAAAGCAAATAATAATGATATGGTTTATATAGGTAAATTAAATTTTTTTAAGTTCTTAGACCACATTCATTCTGTGTCAGAAACCTATGCTGTGTCAAATATTTAATTACAATCCAAATTCAGTGCTGTATCAAGCTTGAATGTTGTGTCCATACTTGCCCCAACTGTTCAGTGTTCGAACTCTGCGGTCGTATCAAGCTGCGACCCAGCGGAGCATTTTATTCCATTTATAAAGGGGCATAACTACAGAACGGTTAAAGTGACGCCACCAAAATTCAAACTAGATCTGTGTTTTGTGGTAATAAGCATTGTGTATAAGTTTCATAACATTTGGTTGAGGCAAACTTGAGTTAGAGAACGGAAACTAAAAATTTTGCAAGAAACTCAAAATTTTGCAATTTTTCCATTTATAGAGGGGCATAACTCTAGAACGGTAAAAGTGACGCCACCAAAATTCAAACTTGATCTGTGTTTTGTAGTAATAAGCATTGTATATAAGTTTCATAACATTTGGTTGAGGCAAACTTTAGTTAGAGAACGGAAACTAAAAAGTTTGCAATTTTTCCATTTATAAAGGGGCATAACTCTAGAACGGTTAAAGTGACGCCACCAAAATTCAAACTTGATCTGTGTTTTGTGGTAATAAGCATTGTGTATAAGTTTCATGACATTTTGTTGAGGCAAACTCAAGTTAGAGAACGAAAACCAATTTTGGGACGTACGTACTTACAGACGGACAAGGGTAAAACTTAATGCCCCAACCGCTACGGCGGGAGCATAAAAAGAAAATTTGCATCATAGTAGAATTGATTGGTAAGTAGAGATCAACTCAGGACTACACTACCATTAACTAGCCAGAACTGGACGAATCACTCGGCTGTAAAATCAAATAAAACATATTTATTTAAAAAACTTACTCTGATTTCTTACTTTTTAAAAATACTTTCTTAATTCATATAAAAGTTTCACAGGAAATTTCGCTCAAACGTCCTATTTGAAAATCTAGGTAAGGTTAATATTCTGGCGCTACATTTCCTGCATTTTTTATTTTCGCTCAAATTTCCTATGCCTGGATGTCTCGCTGCGTTAAAGATCCATTGGTGGCATTGGGCTGTTTTCTGATCTTTTGTGGCTTTGTTGTCTCTTTGACACATTTCCCGTTCCCATTCTCAATTCTAACCTTACAGAAATTACATAAAATATAGAGATACGCATCTGGTTGTAATTGCTGGCAACATCTAGAACGGCTCTTTATTCCGGGACCCGGAAAACGATCATGACACACAATAAAATCATATATGCACTCTTAGTTTCAAGGTTGTATCATTGTTTAACGGCCCCAGAGCTTTTTTAAAACCTCTCTCCCTTTTTATTATGAATGAAATTTCTAATCCGGCAACATCCATTCAAATATTAGCTATTTAAAACTGGAATTTATAATCTATTTGTAATATCCATGCACGTTTCTTCATAATAGGAAAAAGTGACAAGAGTTGACAAATCAAAGCTATTGAATAATTTAAACTTTATGCTTTTGGATTAGCACTCAGCTATGTCTTGCATGTCATAGGTGATACCACAATGGTTGCAATAATAGAATAAGTGTAATAAAAATGTTTACGGAACCCTGTGTCTCGCCTCGTCTGCTGATGTCAGTGTAAAAGTGTAATCTTGCCTTAAAAAGTGAGTCCATTTATCAGAAAAAAAACAGAATTTAAAAAAACAATTTAAACTTTTTCTTTAGATGCTATTTCTTGGTCTTGAAGATTAGCTTCTTTTCAAGTTTCATAACAATCTATGAAGGTTTACATATTTATCATGTCAAAAAAAATTAATCCCAAACTGTCTGTAAATATTAACTGTAAAAAGCGAAGTTCATCCATCAGAAAAATACTAAAAACTAAAAAAATACATTTTCAAATGTTTGCTTCAGACGTTATCTCTTAATACCAGATAAGGTCAATCGAGATCTTTTATGTCCAGATTATTATATTGGTGGTTTAAAAATGCTAAATTTAAAAGCATTTATACAGGGTTTGAAACTTACATGGATAAGAAGGATGTATAACTCATATCCAAAGTGGTGAGATTAGTCTCTGTTGTGGAGCAAATAAATTTTATTGACCTTATATTGGGCACATAAAAAGGTCATCAAATAAATTCTGGCAAGAGGTTTTTGATGCTTGGAAAACCCTTAATTAAAGTAGAACACCAAGATATATTGATGAAATTCTATCTAATTTTTAATGGGGAGAGAAAACATTAAAATTGGTGGTTCAAGTGTTTATGATAAAAACTGGGCCAAAGCTGGAATTTGGACAGTACATGACTTGTTAGATAATCAGGGCAAAATTATGTCATTTCAAAATTTCCAACAATTATATCAATTTAGACCAAATTTTTTACATTATTATGGAATAGCACACTTGCTCAAAGAGTGGTTAGACTCTTATCAATATTGATGTAAAGGAGAAAAGATCTCAGGCAATGCTACCTTTTAATATAAGTATTTTCTTTGAATCAAAGAAAGGTTCAAAGGACATGTACACAGTATTTAATGAGAAAAATATTACTTTTGCTGCAAAGAAAAAATTGGAAAACCATCTTAATATGACTGGTATTGACTGGAAAAAAAGACATAATATACTAGAAGCATAAAGCTTTGCTGGTTCCAATATAGAATTATCCATAGAATTTTGGGAACTAAGACGCTACTTTACAAGATGAAAATAAATAGTAGCAATATATGTAAATTTTGCAAAGAAGACCCAGAAACCATAGAACATCTTTTTTAGAGTTGTCATGTGGTCTCCAGTTTCTGGCATGCACTAAACAAGTGGATTTATGAAATGACAAATATTGAACTGCCTTTGAATAGCAAAATTATTCTATTTGGTAAATTCGAAAATATTAAATTGAATTTTGTTAAAAATAAGATTATTTTGCTAACAAAATACTATATTTACCGAACAAAATTACAAGAAGTATTGCCAAATTTAAATGCTTTAAAAAATTATTTAAAGGAACACATGAACTTGGAAAAATACATTTCATTTAAAAACCTCTGAAGAGGAATATAACAAATACTTGAGTCCCTGGTTCCCCATTATACACTAGTTAATAAATGGTGGTTTTTTGGTTTATTTGATTTTAAATACCACAAATATATATCCAAGAAGGAAATAATGTTTCACTCATTATTAGATAATTATTGATGTGTAACCTAATGTTATAACATAATATATTAATTGTTTTTGATTTAAAACTTCTTTGCTGTGAATATGCCATTATGTATAGCTTTGTTCAAACATGTTGTGCTAGTCTATTTGTTACAATAAAGCAAATTCATTATAAAATTAAAAAAAAATATTTTCCAAGGTTTGCTTCAGACGTTATCTTTTTTTATTAAAAAGCTTCCGCCAAAGTAATTGATGTTTAACAAGCTTTAACCCCAGACTTAAAATGCTTGTTAACTGTAAAAATAACTAAGTCAATTCATCAGTTAAATACAGAAAAAGGAAAATAAATATTTTCAAAATTGATCTGGATACTGTCTTTTGGTCATAAACAAGCTTCTGTCCAAATTTCATAAAATTCCATGTGAGTTTGACAAAGTTATTGATGTTTAAAAAACTTAAAAACCCAGACTTAATCTGAATGATAACTGTATAAAAAATAAATCCAATTATCAGTAATATACGGAAAAATGAAAATAAAGATTTCAAAAATTCGCTCTGAATACTGTCTTTTGGTCATAAACAAGCTACTGTCCAACTTTCATAAAATTCCTTGTAGGTTGACAAAGTTATTGATGCATAAAAAAACTTTAACCACAGACTGAACCTAAATGTTGCTGATGCAGTTGACGGAATCTAGGATCGCATTGTCTAAATTTCGCAGGCTCAACAAAAATGTGATGATGATAAAAAAAAGAGATGTTTATGTGATTTTGCAATATGTTAAACCTCTTTTTCTCTAGGTAGGGTGCTTACATAGAGTGTCTATAGTTTGGACAAAGAGAGGAAACAGAACAGCCTGTACATTTATCCTCTCTTTTTTTTTAATTGATGTTGTTCTATTTTCTTTCGTATTGCATAAAATAATTAATATGCATATTCATCTGCCTTTAAAATAGGGCTTTGTATCCTTGAAATCCTTTGACATTCCAGGGGAAAATGTAGAACAAAAAAATGTAGCCAGAGGATTAAATTAGCTACCAGATTAATATCAGTTTTTCAAAAATGCAAAATTCATCTGGATCCCTGCCTACCTAATAGGATGAACATTGGCCACTCTTGTTTCTAAAGCTGTTTCAAGATATTGTGTGAATTAAGAGGAGAACATTTTAAAATGGCAGTGTAGTGTAATTGGCAGAATTTTGAAGTCAGCCTTAATACATAAAATCTCATGATAATTTGTTTTCTGTATAAATGCTTTCCAGCCAACAGTGAAAAGTTAATATTTAAACCAATGAAAATAATTTATCAAGCTTGCTCTGAAAATAATAATATAGACTCTATAATTCACCAAGAACACACAATCACCACGGTTTAAACTGTTGTCTAATCTTCTTATAGTGCTGATATGAGAAACGGAAAATATAGTTTCTTTTAAATATATTTGGAATTATGCAGACATACCTGGAATCAAATCTACCAAAAACATGAAATAGATTGTGAATTTTTATTGCAGATTTACCCAGCTATAATTTAAACAGAAATGTTTCGCAATCATAAATATATACAGAATAAAATGCTCCGCAGGGCGCAGCTTGATACGACCGCAGAGGTCGAACCCTGAACAGTTGGGGGAAGTATGGACACAACATTCAAGCTTGATACAGCTTTGGATTTGGATTGTGATTAAATATTTGACACAGCATAGGTTTCTAACACAGATTGAATGTGGTCTAAGAACTTAAAAATTTTAAATTGGACATTCACCTATTATGGTCCAATATCCAAAATCTAAATACATGGTTAGATTCAGCATATCAAAGAACCCCAAGAATTCAATTTTTGATGAAAATCAAACAAAGTTTAATTTCGGACCCTTTTGACCTCAATGTGGACAAAGTTACTAACGGGGCCCAAAAATCAAAAATCTAAATACATGGTTAGATTCAGCATATCAAAGAACCCCATATATTCAATTTTTGTTGAAATCAAACAAAGTTTAATTTTGGACCCCGATTTGGACCAACTTGAAAACTGGGCCCATAATCAAAAATCTAAATACATGTTTAGATTCAGCATATCAAAGAACCCTAAGAATTCAATTTTTGTTAAAATCAAACTAAGTTTAATTTTGGACCCTTTGGACCTTAATGTAGACCAATTTGAAAACGGAACCAAAAATTAAGAATCTAAATACACGGTTAGATTCGGCATATCAAAGAACCCCAATAATTCAATTTTTGATGAAATCAAACAAAGTTTAATTTTGGACCCTTTTGACCTCAATGTGGACAAAGTTGATAACGGGGCCCAAAAATCAAAAATCTAAATACATGGTTAGATTCAGCATATCAAAGAACCCCATATATTCAATTTTTGTTGAAATCAAACAAAGTTTAATTTTGGACCCCGATTTGGACCAACTTGAAAACTGGGCCCATAATAAAAAATCTAAATACATGTTTAGATTCAGCATATCAAAGAACCCTAAGAATTCAATTTTTGTTAAAATCAAACTAAGTTTAATTTTGGACCCTTTGGACCTTAATGTAGACCAATTTGAAAACGGAACCAAAATTTAAGAATCTAAATACACAGTTAGATTCGGCATATCAAAGAACCCCAATAATTCATTTTTTGATGAAATCAAACAAAGTTTAATTTTGGACCCTTTGGACCTCAATGTGGACCAATTTAAAAACGGGGCCCAAAATCCAAAAACTAAATACACGGTTATATTCAGCATATTAAAGAACCCCATGAAATCAAGAATAAAACCCCATTGAAATTGGTCAAGAAATAAGCAATTTATAGGAAGTATCTTCTTTTGCACAATCCTGTGCTATTAAATATTTCTTGCTATTGCGCAATACTGTACAATTGACAATTTCTTGCTATTGCGCAATATTGTGCTATTGGATATTTCTTGCTATTGCGCAATACTGTGCAATTGAAGATTTCTTGCTATTGCGCAATACTGTGCAATTGAAGATTTCTTGCTATTGTGCAATACTGTGCAATTGAAAATTTCTTGCTATTGCACAATACTTATTATATAATAATTTACACATCCTGTTTGGTGTGTATCTCCTACCATATCATTATTATTTGATTTTAAATATAAATCAGAAATAACCAACTTAAAATGGAAAATTTTAAAAGAAACAAAAAAGGAAAAAAAGAAAAAAAAGGAAAAAAAAATAAATCCCCCCCCAATTTTTTTGAACCCCCATTATGATTCATCACCCCCAAACTCAATCCCAGCCTTCCCTTTGTGGTATGGTACCTTGCAGTACAATTTCAGAAAGATCCATACACTTGAACACAAGTTATTGTCTGGAAACTAGAAAAAAATGTGTTTTTTGGCCCCTTTTTGGCCCCAAATTCCTAAACGTTTAGGGCAATTACCCCCAAACTCAAACCCAGCTCTCCCTTTGTGATATGGAACCTTGTAGTACAATTTCAGAAAGATCCATACACTTACACACAAGTTATTGTCATGAAACTAGAAAAATGCTTGTTTTTTGCCCCTTTTTTGGCCCCTAATTCCTAAAATTTTGAGGCAATTACCCCCAAAATCAATCCCAGCATTCCTTTAGTGATATGGAACCTTGTGGTACAATGTCAGAGAGATCCATACACTAACACACAAGTTATGTCTGGAAGTTACAAAAATGCTTATTTTTGGCCCCTTTTTGGCCCCTAATTCCTTTACTGTTATTACCATAACCCCCAAAATCAATCCCAACCTTCCTTTTGTGGTATTGAACCTTGTGGTAAAGTTTCATAAAGATCCATTCACTTAAACTAAAGTTAGAGTGCGAAAACCAATGTGTCTTCGGACGACGCCGGACGACGACGACGACGACGCCGGACGACGACGACAACGACGCCGGACGACGACGACGCCAACGTCATACCAATATACGACCACAAAAATTTTTTTGCGGTCGTATAAAAATGTATTCATTTAGCCATCATTAATTTCAATAACTTAAAAACAATCAAAGCACTGTAAGCGCTGTAGGCAGTTAACCAAAAACCAAGGCAAACATAATTATGAAAACTGTGGCTATGTTGCTTCATTTTTTTTTAAGATTTAAAAGAACAAACATTAAACATTCATATATTGTGCATTTATGTTCATTTAATGAATTAATTATTAAGGCAAATAATTCATATTTTATCAAGGTTTTCAAAAGCAACGCATATATCAAGTATATTTTTAATGGTCATGTGTCTGCAGTGGTACAAGCTCGAAATGATTGCAGTTGTTCTAGTTGATAGTTAACGTTGGTATTAGTTGACTGTTAGTAGTTCAAGTTGACTTAGTACGAGCTTGTAATTGTATGCATGGACTTGCTTCCCTGGAAAGAAAACTGAGTTTGTGTTCTACAGTGCAAAAGTTATGAGACACAAATCAGACAAATGTTTACTACTACGGGGATCAAAGGTGAGGTCTGACTGACCTGCCCATAGTAAATGTAAATGACCCCCGCCTTCACCCCAAGTCCATGATGTCTAAGTTTGGAATAAAATGACAGGTGATTATAATAAAGTTGGTCAAACATTCTTGGGCTTGAAAGATATGTTTTCTTTAAAATGAGCAATATTAAAATGAAATTTTTTATAGAACCAGAAATTATTCAAAATATAATTAAGGTAAATTCTTTAAACCTACTCATTTTTTGCATCAATAAAATTTTATAATAAACAAGAAATACTTGTAACAGAATGCTGTTACGAAGTCTCCCAAACAAAGCTCCCATAATTATTCATTCCCATGGTCGCCTGACATTGGGCAAAGTCTAGTACACATTGATTAGGTCTAGTAAAGTGATATGCATATGTGATGCCTATGAGATTGACCTTGTATGTCCATCAAATCTGTTTGAAATGACGAACAGGAATGAATATGGTTAAGGAGTTGGTATCTCAAACTTTTACAAGTTCTTAAAACACACACAAGAGGGGATGGGGTGACCTTAGGGACTACCCCTATATTTCATTTGATTTTTTATGTTGTCCCATACATGAATATATATATGGTTTAGGGGTGGGGATCTCGACCGTTGTCAAGTTTTCAAACAGGAGGGGGTGGGGTGACCCCAGTGACTTCCCCCATATTTCATTTGATTTGTTATATTGCCAAATACATGAGTATATATGGTTCATGGGTGGGGATCTCATCTGTTACCAAGTTATCAAACAGGAGGGGGTAGGGTGAACCTTAGGACTCTCCCTCTATTTCATTTGATAAGTTCTGCTGTCCCATACATGAATATAAATGGTTTAATTTAGAGGTAGGGATCTCGACTGTTTCCAAGTTCTCAAACAGGAGGGGTGGGGTGACTGCAGGGACTCCCCTATATTTCATTTGATTTGTTATATAGTCCCATACATGAGTATATATGGTTTCGGGGTGAGGATCTCGACCGTTTCCAAGTTCTCAAACAGGATGGTTTACAGTGACCATAGGAGCTGCCCCTATATTTCATTTGATTTGTTATATTGTCCCATACATGAATATATATGGTTTAGGGTGGGGATCTCGACCGTTTTCAAATTCTCAAACAGGAAGGGGTAGAGTGGCCGCAAGCACTCAACCTATATTTCATATGATTTGTTATGTTGTCCCATACATGAATATATATGGTTAAGGGGTGGGGATCTCCACCGTTTCCAAGTTCTCAAACAGGAGGGGTGGGGTGACCCCCAAGGACTCCCCCTATATTTCATTTCATTTGTTATATTGTCACATACATGAATATGTATGGTTTATGGGATCATTATTTTTTTGTATGCTCCAATGAACAAATTATGTCTTTAAGAGAAAGGTATATACCTACATATTACACACAAAATCCTTCCCAATTGAAACTTACTGGTCTATTATCACACTGTAACGTGCCACTGCTAACAAAAGTGTGCATGTTTCTAAGACATATTGAAAAAATATTTTCATAATACAAAGCATGTTACAATAACTTCATATCCACGTTGCAATTAAGAATTTTGCAAACAAATCAACCAAATATGATTTATTTCAATTTTATTGTATGATATCACTTATTTATTTATTGTGTGTCTTGCTTGTAAATGTATAAGTATATATGTAATTGTTAATGTATAATTGTTATCCTCTTGTAGCACCATAGGTGTGCTTAAGTTTAAATAAATTGTCTTGTCTTGTCTTGGGATCTTGACCGTTTCCAAATTCTCAAACAGGAGGGGTGGGGTGACCGCAGGGACTCCCTCTATATTTCATTTGATTTATTATATTGTCCCATACATGAATATATTTGGTTTAGGGGTGGGGATCTCGACCATTTCAAAGTTCCCAAACAGGAGGGTTGGGGTGACCCCAGGGACTCCCCTGTATTTCATTTGATTAGTTATATTGTCCCATATAGAATATATATGGTTTAGGGGTGGGGATCTCGACTGTTTCCAAGTTCTCAAACAGGAGGGGTGGGGTAACCCTAGGGACTTCCCCCTATATTTCATTTGATTAGTTATATAGTCCCATACATGAATATATATGGTTTAGGGGTGGGGATCTCATCCGTTTCAAAGTTATCAAACAGGAGGGGGTAGAGTGACCCAAAGGATTCCACCTATATATCATATGATTTGCTTACATTCAAGTATCATATGATAAAGTTGCACTGTTTGCGAAAACAAAGTAAGAAACTTCCAGCTATTTTAACTGACCCTTCAAAATTGAGAAAAAAATTGCAGTAATAATATGTTTACACTTTAAAAGCATCTTACATGCATTATCAACATTTATCACTGATAAAGAAGATTTATACTGTCACCAGGAACATATATATTGTTAGATATACTGTTCCCAGCTGTCACATTGTATTGGATTTTGACATTAAAATTTGTCAAAAAGTAATTTTGAGTTTCTGTATCAAATATTTTTTGCTTTTTCTTTCTTTTACATATATCTTTTGGTTTCCATTTCTAGTGTTTATATTTATTTACCATGCATAGATGTATTTTGTCACCTGCCTGAAATTTTTTTTTTTGTAGTTGATCTCCAAAACCCGGAATTACCCTTATCCGCTTCCGGAATCGGACCCGATATTGTAATTGTCTACACGGCATCCATTGTTTTTCAATGTTGTTTTTGTCAGTCAGATACGATTTTACTCGAATTTACACATTACTTGTCGGCGATTATCTGTATAAAGCTAGCGGTTGAACAAAATGAACATCGCTGTCATGAATAATAAAGATGAAAATAAGTTTTGAGATCGTTTATTTAGAGACTTTGGTAAAAAGGTTTGCAAAGTTATTTTTAATTTTCTTTCAAGTGAAAGGTCCGTCGGGCGTAGCTAGTAACCAAGTCGAGAGTCCGATTGCAAAAGTGGAAGGTCGCGGACCTCGGACCACCGCTAATTTGAACCCCTGCCTCCAAATTGAAAAGATACGAAAATTTCGTCTTCTAATTTGAAATTGCCGCCAACAGCATGAACAGTTGAACTTATTAATAGACTACTGACGTAGTTGTACCACGTATTGACGACAAACAATATTCCTACGACTTTTGCCATTTGGGAAATCTAAACTACTTGTCTTTAAAGATTTTCGGCGATTAAATATTTCATACAATTGTTCTTTGACATCTTAGCCAAAAGCACAGGGGATAATAAACTACATAAGGATTCCTAATGTGCTCTACTTCCTATGTGCAACTTCAAAACTTTTGGGTGGTTCGACGATCATTTAAGGTTTTTTCTGGTCATATTTTTGTAATCCAGAATTAAAAGTATGAAAAAACTATTCAATAAGTTATAAATAACATTATATCCAGCTAGATAATAACAATGGCACGTATTTCAGCATTTATTGGGTAGAACACAAATCTAGGGTGCTCGCATAAGGCAGCTTAACTGCCTAAAAATGTCATTTAACAAATGTTAACATTCAGCATATAATATATCAATCATTATGAAACATCTTCATATGTCCCCGCCTTCTCTCTGTATGTGCAAGGTGTCCCTGAAACACAAAATGAATATTGTAAGCTCCTATATCTCTGATCACACAATAAGAATTCTGCATATAGAATGAAGAAGAAGATAATTTTAAAACTTAATTCATTTTAAATACTGCACAATCAAAATGCATAGTTGGTAATGGTTTTGCTGGCAGAACATAATTTAAGAGTTGATTTTAAAATAGGGGGGAGATAACCAGTAAGAAAATAAAATGGGTGTATCAAATGTTTTGAAGTATTAGCAGAGCCAGCACCATAAACCGTTATCACAGAGATATGTCTCGCCTTTTTGTAATTTTGATAATGCATATATTGAAATTAAAATAGCAATACTTTAACATGTAAGTTATGCAAATATTCAAAGTCGATGAACCATGACTGAAGGTACATGGCTAAACAATCTCCATAGAAATGTGATGTGCCAATGATAATACAACTGCATACCAAATACCATTGACTTATTATAAGTCGTTCCCTTTAAACAAACCTAAAGACAAATATTAACTTGTAAACTATGTAAAAGTTTCAAAGTCAATGAACCATGATCAGGGATGGGGCTATATAATCTCCATGGAAACGATACTTGCAAATGCCAATAAATTTGCATACCAAATATCATTGACTTAACATTAGCAGTTCATCTTAAACTGATCTAATCACAAACTAATACATGTAAACTAAGCAAAAGTTTCAAAGTAAATAGACCATGACTGAGGGGGCGGGGCGAAATATTCTCCATGGAAATGAGATGTGCTAATGCTTATACAACTGAACACCAATTAACATTGGCCTACCACTTATTGTTCCCCTTGAACTGACCTAATCACAAACTAATACATGTAAAGTTAGCAAAATTTTAGAAGTCTATAGACCATGACTAAGGGGGCGGAGCCAAATAATCTCCATTGAAATGAGATATGCCAATGCTTATACAACTGCATACCAAATATCATTGACCTACCACTAGTGGTTACCCATAAATTGACCTAATCACAAACTAATACATGTAAACTATGAAAAGTTTCAAAGTCAATAGACCTTGACTGAGGGGGCGGGGCCAAATAATATCCATGGTAATGAGATGTGCCAATGCTAATACAACTGCATACCAAATATCATTGACCTACCTCTAGTGGTTCACCATGAACTAGACCTAATCACAAACTAATACATTGTTGACGCCGCCGCCGCCAGAAACAGCATACCTATGTCTCGCTTTTTGACTCCGTCAAGGCGGGACAATAAAATTAGTAGTTTTTGGGGGATATTACAATTTAATGCATCTTGTATCTTTAAGTTTGGCTGAAGTGTTATCTTTAAGCTTGGCTGAAAAGTGTGTGTGTGTCAGTGTGGGTTTTGTGGATGATTATTCCTCCCCATACAAATTCTCCCACCTATGGATTGTGACTTGTACAAAACCCTTTTATCTGTAGGTTTAATCTAATCATCATAACTGTCATGTAGATTATTTTATAATGTAGCGATTTCAGATTGGAATAATGAATTAATTTATATGAGAATGGACAATTCTGGAAACAAAACTGCTTAAAAGGCATGGAATTTACCATTTAACACTAAAAGATTTGTTTGAAAGAATCTGTTGTATAGTACATATTATGTTAATATACATGTTTTATTTAAATATTTTACCACACCATTTATAGATTTAAAAATTATATATATAAATCTAAATCTGACAGTTTAATATCAGATGACTTTATACATAATTACACATAAAAACAAATATCTTTTACTTGCGAGAATTCCACACTAAAATACATGCACTACACATACATACACACAACACACCATAACCAATTCATGCCTGTTGACATGCACACTGTAGCATTAAAATCAGCAGGACATAATTCTATAAATAGATTTATCCTTAGTGAATATTTCAACTGTACAATTTTCTTTAAAAGCTGTTGTTGAATTAATTTGTACAGTAAGGACATGTATATATTTTAGTAAAAGTTGATATGAAATTATGATCTTACCAAAATTCAATTATTAACTAGAAAAAATCTTGATTAAGAAATTTTTAACAAGAGAGTTTGAGTACCCACCTCATTTTTGTTTCTGCATGACCAAATTTAGGCTATCTAATTTTTTATTTTGTTTTTTCCCTTTTATGAGTTACAATATATTGGTTGATTGTGCTGTGGAGTCAAATATTTTGTGTCATTATGGTTAAATAAGGACAGAAAGTCACTGGACAAAATACTTGTTATTAAATAATTAATTTTGCATTTTTTTTAACAGTTATATGCATGTATAAAAGTAAAAATTGTAATAATGATGAAATATTTCTTAGGAAAACAAAAACAATATGTCAAAGTGGCTTGTTTGACTAGCTTCAATATGGCAACAAGAAATGTATCCTTTGTACGATAAAAATTTTATAAATCTGAATCAACTATGCTAATGAACAATTTCTTAAACTGCAAAATTAAGTCATTTTACACTTAAGAAATTACTTCAAAAAATGTCTCTTATATATACATGTACATTTTTTATATACATGTAGAAACAATCGCAAACTAATTAATTTCGACTTTTTTCTGTAATTTTTTCTCCTGTGACTTTTTGTCCTGTGACCTTCTGTCCTGTAACCTATTGTCCTGTGACTTTCTCCGTTTACTATTCTGGTTATCTTGTGATGTATATTATATAGAAATAAATTGCAAAGCAGTGAAAACTAATACCTGTCATTGGATGATTTTTTTTCAACCAACCAAATCAGTAAAAATGCTTGATTTATGTTCACTTTAATTTTTTTTCAATTTTAATGGTTGGGACAGGGAAAATTTTACATAAATCATGCTGACAAAACTATCATAATTCTCATATGTTATTACTTAACCATAAGTAATCTACATACTAGGTTATCTGAAATTAAATGACTGAATTTCTGAATCATTGATTGATGTTTGCTTGCCTTTACACTGCCTTAGTACAAAGGCTATATTGGGATGAGCTGAATTTCTGAACGAGAACAACAAATTAATGGCTTGCAAAGCAACCAACACTAACTGAATATTATGGATAACTAAAATTCCAAAATCTATACAAGAAACAAACTAAAAAGGCTTGTGTTTGGGAAGTATTCTATTATTTTTTATTAGAGTAAACTGTTTCACAATAAACTTATGCAAGGTTAATGCAATAAATACATTCTTACATCGATGTTCTGGCTGTTGTAAAAATAAAAAATAAAATCTCACTCTTATAAGCACTTTATCTTCTCACATACATGTACTTGTGGTGTTACCGTCATATTTGTTAAATGAAAAAACTGGAACATAAAAGATTTCGAAAAGGTAATTCTTGAAGACATATTTATAAATAAATTGCTTCGCCGAGCGCAGCTGGATACGACTGCAGAGGTCCAACCCTGAACAGTTGGGGCAAAAATGGACACAATATTCGCGCTTGATACAGGTCTGAATTTGGATTGTAATTTAATTTTGACATATAAAAGGTTTCTGACACAGAATAACTGTAGTCAAAGAACTTAGAATTAGTTATATGATTTGACTTTATATTCAACTTTTTGCTTTTGTGCAAAACACTATGCTGTTGCGAATTATACCCCTCCCCAATTTTTTTTCACCCCCCCCCCCCCCTTTTTTTCCAAAAAAAAAATTCTTTCCCTCAAGATATGGTCATTATCTTAATTCAAATTTCCATTTAAATACATCATAAAAGTCTTAAAATAGAAAATGACATACATAATCATGTCTAAAATTAATATTCCTTAATCAGCATTTTTAATAGTAACTTCTAAAAATAAATTGACAGCTAATCACCTCAAGACAATACAACATTTCTTTATACATAATTTAAAAGCAGTGTAAGGGAGGCAATCCAACCACAAAACATTGTACTTAAAAGTAATTGTCCATTAACAAGGAAACCCTTGTTTTTTCCCATTTTTTGCCCCTAATTCCTAAACGGTTTGAGCCATTACCCCCCAAAGCCAATCCTAACCATCCCTTAGTGGTATGGAAACTTATGGTATAATTTCAGAGAGATCCATACACCGTTCCACAAGTTATTGTCTGGAAACTAGAAAAATGCTTATTTGGGCCCCTTTTTGGCCCCTGATTCCTAAACTGTTAGGACTATGACCCCCAATATCAATCCCAACTTTCCTTTTGTGGTTATAAACCTTGTGTTTAAATTTCTATTTACTTATACTAAAGTTATTGTCCGGAAACCAAATGTCTTCAGACAACGCTGACGACGACACACTAATTTTTTGCGGTCGTATGATAAATGGAGAATGTGTCCCCATGGACTCAGATGATGCCCCCGCTTGCATACAACATTATAAAGGGACATAACTCAAGAATGACAAAAGTGACGCAACCCAAATTTGTACTTGATCTGAGTTTTAAGGTAATAAGTATTTTGTAAAGGTTTCATAATGTTTAGTTGGGGCAAACTAAGTAACATAACAGAAACTAAAAATTTTGCAGTTTTTCGATTTATAAAAGGGCATAACTCAATAATGAGTAAAGTGACGCTACCGAAATTCAAAATTGATCTTTATTTTGTGGTAATTAGCATTGTGTATAAGTTTCATAACATTTGGTTGAGGCAAACTTTAGTTAGAGAATGGAAACTAAAAATTTTGCAATTTTTCCACTATAAAGGGGCATAACTCTAGAACGGTTAAAGTGACGCCACCAAAATTCAAACTTAATCTGTGTTTTGTGGTAATAAGCATTGTGTATAAGTTTCATAACATTTGGTTGAGGCAAACTTAAGTTAGAGAACATAAACTAAAAATTTTGTAATTTTTCAGTTTCAAAAGGGGCATAACTCTAGAACGGTTAAAGTGACCCTACCAAAATTCAAACTTGATCTGTATTTGGTGGTAATAAGCATTGTGTATAAGTTTCATAACATTTGGTGGAGGCAAACTTAAGTTAGAGAATGGAAACTAAACATTTTGCAATTTTTCCATTTATAAAGGGGCATAACTCTAGAACGGTTAAAGTGACGCCACCAAAATTCAACCTTGATCTGTGTTTTGTAGTAACTAGCATTGTGTATAAGTTTCATAACATTTGGTTGAGGCAAACTCAAGTTAGAGATCGGAAACCAATTTTGGGACGTACATACGTACAGACGGACAAGGGTAAAACTTAATGCCCCCTCTGCTATGGCGGGGGCATAAAAATCATATCTTCCTGACACTGGGAGAGATTTTTTTAAATTGTTCAATTCTCAAGATTTGTTTAAGCTACAGCACAATGCCTTTTTTAAAATGGACCCAATTGGTATTAGGCCTTCAATTTTCTATAAAAAAATTGTATAGGGTTCTGTGAAACCATATGTCTCGCCTGCAATTGCTGCTGTTAATGTGAAAGCATGATGTTGAATGAATGACAAAAAGCAAGTTCATTTATAAAAAAAATAAATGTGGATAGTGTCCACATGTGGACACAGATGATGCCCCCGCTTGCATATCATATAGTTATAAAGGGACATAACTGAAGAACGGTAAAAGTGACACTACCCAAATTTGAACTTGATCTGAGTTTTGTGGTAATAAGCATTGTGTGTAAGTCTCATAACATTTGGTTGAGGCTAACTTAAGTAGAGAACAGAAACTAAAAATTCAGCAATTTTTCTATTTGTAATGATGCATAACTCTAGAACGGTTGTGTATAAGTTTTACAACATTTGGATGAGACAAACTAAAAAATTCAGCAATTTTTATGTTTATAATGGGACATAACTCTAGAATGGTAAAAGTGTTGCCACCTAATTTCGTACTTAATCTGTATTATGTAGTAATTAGCATTGTGTATAAGTTTCATAACATTTGGTTGAGGCAAACTCAAGTTAGAGAACTGAAACAAAAAAAAATGTACTTGATCTTTACTGAGTTTTGTTGGAATGAATATTGTGTATAGGTTTCACAATCTTTGGCTGGGGAAAACTTCAGTTACAGAATGGAAACTAAAAAATTTTGCAATCTTTCTATTTATAAAGGGGCATAACTCAATAATGGTTAAAGTGACACTACCCAAATTCAACTTGATCTGTGTTTTATCAGTGGTAGTCAAAATTAAACATTGCATTGTATAAAGCATTGATTGTAGTTGATTCAACTATAATCATGGTCAAAGGAAGATAACTCCAATTTTAAAAATATATTATATAAACTTGATATTTAGAAGAAAATAAAAATTTTGCAATTTTTCCTTTTATAAAGGGGCATAACTCTAGATCGGTTAAAGTGACACCACCAAAATTCAAACTTGATCTGTGTTTTGTGGTAATAAGCATTGTGTATAAGTTTCATAACATTTGGTTGAGGCAAACTTAAGTTAGAGAACGGAAACTAAAAATTATGCAATATTTCCTTTTATAAAGGGGCATAACTCTAGATCGGTTAAAGTGACGCCACCAAAATTCAAACTTGATCTGTGTTTTGTGGTAATAAGCATTGTGTATAAGTTTCATTACATTTGGTTGAGGCAAACTCAAGTTAGAGAACGGAAACCAATTTCGGGACGTACGTACGTACATACGTACGTACAGACGGACAAGGGTAAAACTTAATGCCCCCTCCGGTACGGCGGGGGCATAAAAAAGACATTTTTTCTTTTTTTCTTCAAATGCTTTTTCTTGATCATGAAGAAGCTTCTGTCCCAAATTTTTTTTACATTGCATGAGGTTTGACAAAGTTATTGGTGTCTGAAAAAAAAGAATTACAAACTGAACCTAAATGTTTATGATACCAAATGCCAGAATGTAGGATAAATCTGTATTGCTGTTAAGATATTTGTTGCAGGCCAGAGGCTGGGCCTAAATCACCTGAAGCCTCCAATAATTGGACCATATAATTTACACAAATTTGCAAATCTTTTGGATTTTATTTGTATAGTTTTAGAATCAAATATGACAGTTTGACCACAAGTACTATAGATATACATAAACTATTAATTAAGATACTTACTTTTAATAACATTGCCAAACTGCAATGGGAATGGAATTCCTTATTGCTTAAAGCATTTTTTATTAAGAGAATGATAAATAAAGTATCTAACTGGTTAATACACACACAAGTGGTTATTTCCATTTCAAAAATATATGACAAATCACAACCTCTCTATATTTGATACTGAGCTTGAATCATTGATGGACAAGGAAAACATGTTTAATTGCACTTTCACCATTTTAAATCTTGTCTCTGGAGTCCTCTTTCATTGTATGTTGTAATTCTATAGTATTACTCCTTACCATGAGTCGATAAACAATAAGATTATTGAATTTAAAACATTGTTTTTGGTCTAAGTTTTGGGACCAAAAAATTAGTTGTGGTATTTCATGTAGGTCTTATCTTTTTCAAATCTTACTCAAGGACATATGATGCACTAATTATATATTAAAGTCAGTACAGAAACCATTATTATTTCAAATTAGCATATGTAGTAAGAATTTTTAATGTTCAGTATTGCTTGATAGTCATTCTTCGAACTCAAAATAGTAAACTAGGACAGGAATTGTTTCAAGTGGCAGATTTTCTTCTGTTCATTTCCTATCATTATGAAAGTTCATTTGTTGGTATCTACAAATTAAACTGATTTCCAATACATCTGTTTCAACTATAACAAGGGTATCTGTACAAACTAATCTTAATTCTAATAAAATGCTTCGCTGGGCGCAGCTTGATACGACCGCAGAGGTCGAACTCTGAACAGTTGGGGCAAGTATGGACACAACATTCAAGCTTGATACAGCTCTGAATTTGGATTGTGATTAAATATTTGACACAGCATAGGTTTCTGACACAGAAAGAATGTGGTCTAAGAACTTCAATTTTTTTAATTTACCTATTATGGTCCAATGTCCAAAATCAAAATACATGTTTAGATTCAGCATATCAAAGAACCCCTTATATTCAATTTTTGTTGAAATCAAACAAAGTTTAATTTTGGACCCCAACTTGGACAAACTTGAAAACTGGTCCCATAATCAAAAATCTAAACACATGTTTAGATTCAGCATATCAAAGTACCCCAAGAATTCAATTTTTGTTAAAATCAAACTAAGTTTAATTTTGGACCCTTTGGACCTAAATGTAGACCAATTTAAAAAACGGGACCCAAAATTAAAAATCTAAAAACACGGTTAGATTTGGCATATCAAAGAACCCCAATAATTCAATTTTTGATGAAATCAAACAAAGTTTAATTTTGGACCCTTTTGACCACAATATGAACCAATTTGATAGCGGGCCTACAAAATAAAAAATCTAAATACATGGTAAGATTTAGCATATCAAAGAACCCCATATATTCAATTTTTGTTGAAATCAAACAAAGTTTAATTTTGGACCCAAATTTGGACCAACTTGAAAACTGGGCCAAAAATCTAAAATCTAATACATGTTTAGATTCAGCATATCAAAGAACCCCATATATTCAATTTTTGTTGAAGTCAAACAAAGTTAAATTTTGGGGTCCAACTTGGACCAACTTGAAAACTGGTCCCATAATCAAAAATCTAAACACATGTTTAGATTCAGCATATCAAAGAACCCCAAAAATTCAATTTTTGTTAAAATCAAACTAAGTTTAATTTTTGACCCTTTGGACCTTAATGTAGACCAATTTAAAAAATGGGACCCAAAATTAAAAATCTAAATACACGGTTAGATTTGGCATATCAAAGAACCCCAATAATTAAATTTTTGATGAAATCAAACAAAGTTTAATTTTGGACCCTTTTGACCTCAATATGAACCAATTTGATAGCGGGCCCACAAATAAAAAATCTAAATACATGGTAAGATTCAGCATATCAAAGAACCCCATATATTCAGTTTTTGTTGAAATCAAACAAAGTTTAATTTTGGACCCCAATTTGGACCAACTTGAAAACTGGGCCAAAAATCTAAAATCAAAATACATGTTTAGATTCAGCATATCAAAGAACCCCATATATTCAATTTTTGTTGAAATCAAACAAAGTTTAATTTTGGACCCCAACTTGGACCAACTTGAAAACTGGGCCCATAATCAAAATTCTAAACACATGTTTAGATTCAGCATATCAAAGAACCCCAAGAATTCAATTTTTGTTAAAATCAAACTAAGTTTAATTTTGGACCCTTTGGACCTTAATGTAGACCAATTTAAAAACGGGACCCAAAATTAAAAATCTAAATACACGGTTAGATTTGGCATATCAAAGAACCCCAATAATTCAATTTTTGATGAAATCAAACAAAGTTTAATTTTGGACCCTTTTGACCTCAATATGAACCAATTTGATAGCGGGTCCACAAATAAAAAATCTAAATACATGGTTAGATTCAGCATATCAAAGAACCCAGAGAATTCAATTTTTGATGAAATCAAACAAAGTTTAATTTTGGACCCTTTTGACCAAAATTCGTAAGGGTTCCGCGGAACCCAGTGTCTCGCCTACTTTTGGTGTTAATCGCAGGCTCAACAAAAATGAAGAAAAAAATTAATAAAAATATTCCCCTCTATACTATGTTTTGATTGTAAGTAGCTTCTGTCCAAGTTTGGTAAAAATCCAGGATAAATTATGAATCTAATAAATGTTTTAAAAACTTAAACTGCAGAATGTATGTAATGTTGACTGGAAGAAAAACTAAGTCCATTTATAAGTAAAATACAGAAAAAATGGAACAAAATTTTATCAAAATTTCCTTCTAAATACTATCTTATGATCATAAACAAGCTTCTTTCCAAGTTTGGTATAAATCCAGGATAGTTTAAGAAAGTTATTGAAATTTCAAAAACTTTAACCACAGAGTGAATGTAATGTTTCCTGGCAGAAAAACTAAGTCCATTTATAAGTAAAATACGGAAAAATGGAATTTTTTTTTTACAAAATTTACTTCTGGATACTATCTTATGATCATAAACAAGCTTCTTTCCAAGTTTGGTAGAAATCTAGGATAGTTTAAGAAAGTTATTGAAATTTTAAAAACTTTAACCACAGAGTGAATGTAATGTTAACTGGCAGAAAAACTAAGTCCACTTATAAGTAAAATACGGAAAAAATGGAATTTTTTTTTTACAAAATTTACTTTTGAATATAATCTTATGATCATAAACAAGCTTCTGTCCAAGTTTGGTAGAAATCCAGGATAGTTTAAGAAAGTTATTAAAATTTCAAAAACTTTAACCACAGAGTGAATATTTGTGGACGCCACCGCCGCCGACGACGACGACGACGACGACGACGACGACGACGACGACGCCGACGGAATGTAGGATCGCTATGTCTCGCTTTTTCGACAAAAGTCGAAGGCTCGACAAAAATGTGGACAAAGTTGATAACGGGGCCCAAAAATCAAAAATCTAAATACATGGTTAGATTCAGCATATCAAAGAACCCAATATATTCAATTTTTGTTGAAATCAAAGAAAGTTTAATTTTGGACCCCAATTTGGACCAACTTGAAAACTGGGCCAAAAATCTAAAATCTAAATACATGTTTAGATTTAGCATATCAAAGAACCCCATATATTCAATTTTTGATGAAATCAAACAAAGTTTAATTTTGGACCCTTTTGACCTCAATGTGGACAAAGTTGATAACAGGGCCCAAAAATCAAAAATCTAAATACATGGTTAGATTCAGCATATCAAAGAACCCCATATATTCAATTTTTGTTGAAATCAAACAAAGTTTAATTTTGGACCCCGATTTGGACCAACTTGAAAACTGGGCCCATAATCAAAAATCTAAATACATGTTTAGATTCAGCATATCAAAGAACCCTAAAAATTCAATTTTTGTTAAAATCAAACTAAGTTTAATTTTGGACCCTTTTGACCTTAATGTAGACCAATTTGAAAACGGAACCAAAAATTAAGAATCTAAATACACGGTTAGATTCGGCATATCAAAGAACCCCAATAATTCAATTTTTGATGAAATCAAACAAAGTTAAATTTTGGACCCTTTGGACCTCAATGTGGACCAATTTAAAAACAGGGCCCAAAATCCAAAAACTTAATACACGGTTAGATTCAGCATATTAAAGAACTCCAAGAATTCAAGAATAAAACCCCATTGAAATTGAACAAGAAATAAGCAATTTATACGAAGTATCTTCTTTTGCACAATACTGTGCAATTGAATATTTCTTGCTATTGTGCAATACTGTACAATTGACAATTTTTTGCTATTGCGCAATATTGTGCTATTGGATATTTCTTGCTATCGCGCAATACTGTGCAATTGAAGATTTCTTGCTATTGCGCAATACTGTGCAATTGAAGATTTCTTGCAATTGTGCAATACTGTGCAATTGAAAATTTCTTGCTATTGCACAATACTTATTATATAATAATTTACATATCCTGTTTGGTGTGTATCTCCTACCATATCATTATTATTTGCTTTTAAATATTAATCAGAAATAACCAACTTAAAATGGAAAATTTTAAAAGAAAAAAAAAAAGAAAAAAAGAAAAAAAAAGAAAAAAAAAAAATCCCCCCCCCCCAAATTTTTTGAACCCCCTTATGATTCATCACCCCCAAACTCAATCCCAGCCTTCCCTTTGTGGTATGGTACCTTGCAGTACAATTTCAGAGAGATCCATACACTTGAACACAAGTTATTGTCTGGAAACTAGAAAAATGCTTATTTTTGGCCCCTTTTTGGCCCCCAATTCCTAAACGTTTCAGGCATTTACCCCCAAACTCAATTCCAGCTTTCCCTTTGTGATATGGAACCTTGTAGTACAATTTCAGAAATATCCAAACACTTACACACAAGTTATTGTCATGAAACTAGAAAAATGCTTGTTTTTTGCCCCTTTTTTGGCCCCTAATTCCTAAAATTTTGAGGCAATTATCCCCAATATCAATTACAGCCTTCCCTTTGTGATATGGAACCTTGTGGTACAATGTCAGAGAGATCCATACACTTACACACAAGTTATTGTCTGGAAGTTACAAAAATGCTTATTTTTGGCCCCTTTTTGGCCCCTAATTCCTTAACTGTTGGTACCATAACCCCCAAAATCAATCCCAACCTTCCTTTCATGGTATTGAACCTTATGGTAAAATTTCATGGAGATCCATTCACTTAAACTAAAGTTAGAGTGCGAAAACCAATGTGTCTTCGGACGACGCCGGACGACGACGACGACGACGACGACGCCAACGTCATACCAATATACGACCAAAAAATTTTCAATTTTTGCGGTCGTATAAAAACCTCAGTTCTTACAATAAAATGGAAAGATTAATTTAAATGGTGGTTTTATTTTAGGCAATTCAAGGCCATGTCTAATATACTATGCAATAGCAGGAAAATTTAGTTTTTATTTGTATATATTGCATGATGGCAATTAGCTTTGGTTACACTAAAGAATGTTTACTTTTAGTACCTGATTTGGTGGCACTTGATGACTGTAGAATCTCCTTTCAGTGACCTGCAAAAATATATTGTATAACTATTAATAAAATTCGTAAGGGTTCCGCGGAACCCAGTGTCTCGCCTACTTTTTCTGTTAATCGCAGGCTCAACAAAAATGAGGAAGTAAATCAATAAAAATATTCCTCTTGATACTATCTTTTGATTGTAAGAAGCTTCTGTCCAAGTTTGGTAAAAATCCAGGATAGTTTATGAATCTAATAAATGTTTAAAAACTTTAACTGCAGATTGAATGTAATGTTAACTGGAAGAAAACAAAATTTCCTTCTAGATACTAGCATTTGATCATAAACAAGCTTCTGTCCAAGTTTGGTACAAATCCAAAATAGTATAAGAAAGTTATTAAAATTTTAAAAACTTTAACCACAGAGTGAATGTGTTGTTTCATGGCAGAAAATCTAAGTCCATTTAAAAGTAAATAAACTGCTTCGCTGAGCGCAGCTGGATACGCCCGCAGAGGTCCAACCCTGAACAGTTGGGGCAAAAATGGATACAATATTCAAGCTTGATACAGGTCTGAATTTGGATTGTAATTAAATATTTGACATATTACAGGTTTCTGAATAAATGTAGTCAAAGAACTTGAAATTGGTTATATGAATTGAATTTATATTCAATTAAAGATTTCTTGCTGTTGTGCAATACACTGTGCTGTTGCGCAATACTTAGTAAATCTGTTGTCAGACTATAAACAAATAAAGTTCAATTAATTCTCAATGTCATATTAGAAATTTATGAAAATCAAAAGGGAGCTTACATCAATAGATATAAACAATTCACCAAAGTTTCATGAGAATTGCTGACAGCATTTTTGAGTTATTGTCCGAAAACTGGAAAATCCCCCCTTTTTTAATGAATAAAACCCCATAACTCAGAAATGTAAAATGTAAAATTTATAAAATTCTAAAGGGAGCTTACTTAAATAGATATAAACAATTCACCATAGTTTCATAAGAACTGCTGTAAGCATTTTTGAGTTTTTGTCAGAAAACTGGAAAATCCCCCTTTTTTATGAATAAAACCCTGTAACTCGGAAACGTAAAATCTAAAATTTATAAAAATTCAAAGGGAGCTCATGTCAATAGATATAAACAATTCACCACAATTTCTTGAAAGTTGGTGAAAGCATTCTTGAGTTATTGTCCGAAAACTGGAAAATCCCCCTTTTTTTAATGAATAAAACCCCATAAGTCAGAAACGTAAAATTTTAAATTTATAAAAAACGAAAGGGAGCTCACGTCAGTAGATATAAACAATTCACCAAAGTTTTATGCAAATTGGTTAAAGCATTTTTGAGTTAGTGTCCGACATGTTGACGACGGACGGACAGACGGACGGACGGACAGACGGACAGACGGACAACAGTATACCATAATACGTCCCGTAAACGGGCGTATAAAAATGGAAAAAATGGATTTATTTTTTTTACAAAATTTCCTTCTAGATACTAGCTTTTGATCATAAACAAGCTTCTGTCCAAGTTTGGTACAAATCCAAAATAGTATAAGAAAGTTATTAAAATTTTGAAAACTTTAACCACAGAGTGAATGTGTTGTTTCCTGGCAGAAAATCTTAGTCCATTTAAAAGTAAAATAAGGAAAAAATGGATTTATTTTTTTACAAAATTTACTTCTGGATACTATCTTATGATCATAAACAAGCTTCTGTCCAAGTTTGGTACAAACCCAGGATAGTTTAAGAAAGTTATTAAAATTTTAAAAACTTTAACCACAGAGTGAATGTATTATTTCCCGGCAGGAAAACTAAGTCCATTTATAAGTAAAATACGGAAAAAATGGAATTTTATTTTTACAAAATTTACTTCTGGATACTATCTTATGATCATAAACAAGCTTCTGTCCAAGTTTGGTAGAAATCAAGGATAGTTTAAGAAAGTTATTAAAATTTCAAAAACTTTAACCACAGAGTGAATATTTGTGGACGCCGACGGAATGTAGGATCGCTATGTCTCGCTTTTTCGACTAAAGTCGAAGGCTCGACAAAAACATGATAATTATTTTTCCTTTTCATATTTAAATCTTTCTCTCCAATATTGTAGCCTGCTTAAAAGATTATGACTGAATAATTAGTAAGAAGTCTTTAAGATCAACAATATATATATATATATATCCCTAAAACTAGAAAAACAGGGTCAAAATCTAGTGAATCTTAGCTGATTAACCAATACACCATAAACTATTGATATAGAAATATAGTTGATATTTAAAAAGTACAAAATGTAATAGTGACAGAAAAAATTATATTAACTAAAACTTTCATTTTTTTAATAAAGTGAGGCCAATGTCAAGTGTTCCCTGTCAGGACATGTAGATCTAGAAATGCAGAATTCCAATGTCCTACATTGCAAAGCATGTATTTTATCTGTCCAAGGGCAATAACTCTGATAATTTTTCACTAAAATTTGCAAATAATTCAGGTTTATATAAACATTTGATATTTTTTTTTGTAAAAATCCTACAAAAGATGTAGGCTTGAGAGAGCTTACAGTGCAAATTTCAATTTAATTTAAATTTATAAGAGGCAAAGCTCATGTTACAGCAGTTGAATGATGTTGATTTTCAAACTCTTCCTAGACATTGTTGAAATATCCTTTGATATGAATTTCGAAAAAAATATCAAGACAAAAATTTCAGGCATGAGTGTGCTTACGGTACAATGAAATTTCAATATTATTTACATTTCTGAGGGTATAACTCCCATTAAAATAGTAAAACTGGCACTGATTTTTTTGATCATCTGGTATGTTAATCATATGAACCTTTGTTATAAATTTCATAAAAATCAACAAAAAATGTAGGCGTGATAATAATTCCCAGTATTTCTATGTCACCCACTGTGCCTTGTGGCAGGGATTAAAATATAGTTGACATCATAACTGAAAAACTGACCCTACCGTAAAATTTTACCATTTCACATTTAACATTTCAGTGTAAGGTGATCCTTGTCAAATGGAAATGATTCTGTAGGTTAAAAAACATCTTTTACTCACAGTATCTGAGTTACTGACTATAGCACAAAAATAAAGCATTGATCATTGAACCATGAACCATATCTTAATTGACCCATTAATATAGACATGTCAACTTCACAATGTTTCAACAGATTAAATATAGTTGACCAACTTATCACAGTAGCTGTGATACATGTGCTGATGTAAGCATGTAAACTGAATGCTGATCTTTGTCAGACAGACATGTATCCTCTTAGCCCAAAGAAAGTAAATATGTATGCATATTACTGAGAAAAAAGACTTAATATTGATCATTGAACAATAAAAATGAGGTCAAGGTCAGGTACCCCATCAGACACACATGTACATCTAGCAATGATTCTATATACCAAATATAGTTGACCTATTCAAAAGAACTTAGCAATCAATTTAGTGAGTAATTGAACCATGAAAACTAGTTCACAGATAACCTCACTTGGCAACTTTTCAAATCATCAAGCTAGGTTGGAAATTTCTCTATCAGCACAATTTTTCATGTGAAGATTAACTGTAAAACCTATTTAACATTGTTTTCTGTAATATAGCTCATTGCATAATCAATGAATCCAGGCTCTGTAGTTTCAATGGCATTTTAATTTCATACCTTGTCGAAAAATCTGGACAATTTTACAGCATTTGTTGAACCTGGTGATAGACATTTACAGTCGTTGCAATCCTGCAAAAAATAAAACATGCATTGTGAAATATTTGCTTGAAGATAAATAGCATTCCATATCACGACCGAGGTACCTCTGATAATAATAACAAACTAGAGGCTCTCAAGAGCCTGTGTCGCTCACCTGTATCTACTGTGGTTTTGGAAATCATGTAAAATAAGGTTAAAATCATAATAAATAGTATTAGATACCCCAATAATGATTGTGACCAAGTTTGGTTTAATTTGGCCCAGTAGTTAAATTAAAAGCAAGTCATCCCATTGTAGTATTACAATAGTTACTTAAGACCACTTATCATTATTTAAATTAGTTTTCAACTTGTGACCATTTGAAATTGTTTTTTTACAATTTTCCCATAAACTTCTATAGTAAACCCCTATGCTCTATTTTTAGCCATGGTGGCCATCTTGGTTGATGGTAGGGTCATCAAATATATTTTTTAAACTAGATACCCTAAGGATGACTTAGGCCAAGTTTGGTTTAATTTGGCCCAGTAGTTTCAGAGGAGAAGATTTTTGTAAAAGATAACAAAAATTTACAAAAAATTGTGAAAAATTGACTTTAAAGGGCAATAACTCCTTATGGGGTCAATTGACAATTTTGGTCATGTTGACTTATTTGTAGATTTTACTTTGCTGTTTACAGTTTATCTCTATCTATTATAATATTCAAGATAATAACCAATAAAATGCTTCGTCGGCGCAGCTGGATACGACCCAAAGGTCCAATCCTGAAAAGTTGGGACGTAAATGGACACAATATTAGCGCTTGATACAGGTCTGAATTTGGATTGTAATTAAATATTATACACATAATAGGTTTCTGACGCCGAATAACTGTAGTCAAAGAACTTAGAATTGGTTATATGATTTGAATTTATAGTCAATTTTTTGCTTTTGTGAAATACACTATGCTGTTGCGTATTGACCCCTTCTTTTTAATTTCTGAAATCTGAAATGAAAAATGCCCCCCACAATTTCTTCATTGTACAATTTTGTTTTTGGATTACCTCCCTTACACTGCTTTTAAATTGTCCATTAACCAGGAAACCCTTGTTTTTCCCCTTTTTTGCCCCTAATTCCTAAACGGTTTGAACCATAACTCCCCAAAGCCAATCCTAACCATCCCTTTGTGGTATGGAAATTTGTGGAATCATTTCAGAGAGATCCATACACTAAAACACAAGTTATTGTCTGGAAGTTACAAAAATGCTTATTTTTGGCCCCTTTTTCCTTAACTGTTGGTACCATAACCCCCAAAATCAATCCTAGCCTTCCTTTTGTGGTATTGAACCTTATGGTAAAATTTCATAGAGATCCATTCACTCAAACTAAAGTTATTGTGCGAAAACCAATGTGTCTTCAGACAACGATGACGACGCCAACGTCATACCATTATACGACCGCAAATTTTTTTATAAAAACTGCCAAATTTCCTTAAATTTACCAATTCAGGGACAACAATCCAACAATGGGTTGTCTGATGCGTCTAAATTCAGGGCAAATAGATCTTGACCTGATAAACATTTTTACCCCGTCAGATTTGCTCTAAATGCTTTAGTTTCAGAGATATAAGCCAAAAATGGCATTTTATCCCATGTTCTATATTTAGCCATGGTGGCCGTCTTGGTTGATAGGCAGGGTCATCGGATACATTTTTTAAACTAGATACCCTAAGGATGATTTAGGCCAAGTTTGGTTTAATTTGACCCAGTAGTTTCAGAGAAGATTTGTGTAAAATATTACAAAAATTTACAAAAAAATGTGAAAAATTGATTCTAAAGGGCAATAACTCCTTATGGGGTCAATTGACAATTTTGGTCATGTTTGACTTATTTGTAGATCTTACTTTGCTGAACAATTTTGCTGTTTACTGTTTATCTCTATCTATTATAATATTCAAGATAATAACCAAAAACTGCAAAATTTCCTTACAACTGGTTGTCTGATGCGTCTGAAAATTTTAGGGCAGATAGATCTTGACTTGATGAACATTTTAACCCCATCAGATTTGCTCTAAATGCTTTAGTTTCAGAGATATAAGTCAAAAACTGCATTTTACCCCCATGTTCTATTTTTAGCCATGGCGGCCATCTTGGTTGATGGGCAGGGTCATCGGATATATTTTTTAAACTAGATACCCGATGGATGATTTAGGCCAAATTTGGTTTTATTTAGTCCAGTAGTTTCAGAGGAGAAGATTTTTGTAAAAGTTAACGGAGGACGACGACAACGGATGACGGACGCCAAGTGATGAGAAAAGCTCACTTGTCCCCTTATGGGCCAGGTGAGCTAAAAATAGACTTCTTGAATATTAAGTTTTAGAAAAATGAATTTATTGAAAGTAAGTTAAAGCAAATATAATATGTAAATAAAGTTTGAAAATAAATTTAGAACAATTTCTTTTTTATCATCAATAATAAAATTGAGAATGGAAATGGGGAATGTGTCAAAGAGACAACAACCCGACCATAGAACAGACAACAGCAGAAGGTCACCAACAGGTCTAGTATGAATAACAGGAGATTTGTGATAAACATCATTGAGAAAGCAACCCAACAAAACAAATAACCAAAAAACATCTAGAGGACAATTCAGGTATGAATTTAAAATGTGTTGCACTCAACTCCAATATCTATTAACAGATGGAAGTAGTTCTCATCAGTCTATATTTTTAAAATATAGTAACTGGTATCAAGCAAATTAATCAAATTAAGAAACATATACTGTAAATTCAGATATTATTGTGATGTTTGTATTAAAGCAGCAGTATCAGATTCACAATCATAAAAACTTGCATTCATACTTTCAATAGTGATTTTCCTGAAAAAAATGTTCGCAACCACAATAACTATTTTTCACATTTTTTCCAATAGTCAATGATTTGTAAAAATAAATTCACACATTAAGTTCTGAATTTACAGTATTCAGTTGTTTAGATTTGGCAGTAAAACCATGATTTATTTTAGGAGTATTTATCACAGAAAAGATATTTAACATTTATTCATTATTAATTTCTCTAACCAAGTTCATTTCATCAGCACCACATTCCTCAGCTATGGAAGATGACCTTGAGATGACCTTTTCTCTCAAGGTCTGGGCAAGGTCAGCCTTAGTTCCTACTAACAGTATAGGTATCTGGTTACCAGCAAACTGTTCTGGGTCAAAATCATACCTATAACAGATAAGACAGATGGATTAAAAGTTGTTTAGTTTCTCATTTACTAGATTTAACTTTTACAATGATATGATCAGTGATATTGATTAAGGGGGAATTGCATAAATGACCCAACATTTGATCAGCATTTATATTTCAAGTTTAACCTGTAATTTCTAAGAATATAATCAGGGGTTCAAATCTGCTTTTAAGAATGAAAGGTTCATAAACTCTTTGAACCTTGAAAAGCCATTTTAAGAAAGACATAGGTCATGTATAAAGTGACCCCAGACCCACACTTATTTAAACCCCTGAGAATGGCATCCAAGCGACTGTTTCCTCCTGGCAACTAATATTTTTTAAAGATGACAGATTAAAGAATGTTGTAAAATTTAGTAAAATTTTAATTCTCCAAAATTTTGTGACATTGGTTAAAGCTAAACATGTATGTTTTGACAACTTAAGCTGTGGTTGATGTGTTGATATGGAAATTCATATTTCTGATGCTTTTTTAACTAAATTAGGTACACACAAAACCTGCACAAATCATTGAAATGTAATACCAAGATTCTATATAATAGGAAAGCCAGACAAAAAGTTGCAAGCTTGTCATGCAAATTACACCTACTATTTATTTGACACTGATGAAAAATTTCATGTTTAGTCGGTATAACAAATTCAAAAAATTTTAAAACAAAAACAGGAAGTGCAGATCTGAAAAATAGCTTACACAGTACAACTCAGTATAATATAGTTCAAAACCAAATATCAAATCATTCCTTAATGCAGTAGCTGAATTTTATAACAAAAGTTATGGACAAACAATCAGACAATCAGACGTACAGACATATAGAATAACCATACAGTCTAGAAATATAAATTTTATTTGTACAAGGATTATAAACAGGTAGAATGCAAGGCTGTGCCAATGTATGATTATTCTTTATATACTGCAGCTCTTACAACTGTACCAAATGAAATATTTGGGGTAAAAACAATCATTTTTTAATTTGAAGCAAACGACGTAAAAATTCCGCAAACATGTATTCTGTATTGACATCATAAACTCTACGGAAACGTAATGTCAACATCATAAGCAAGGAGATATATGGTCAGTGACTGTATATCATCAATGAATATAAGGTCAATGTTATTTGCTGTATATAAGGTGATTACAGTATACCAACCACTTAGTGAGCTGGAGTACAATAATAATCCTCTTCTAGGCCTCTACTAAAGAGGAGTTATATAAATATTTCTCACCCACTATTGAAATCTTTTGCATCATTTTTATTTAGAACCTCACCCAGCCATCTTCTAAGGTTTTGATGAGATTTTCTGTTCGTCAAGTCATGGACGAGAATAATACCTGCAGTAAAAATGTAAATATCCAAAATACAAAATAAAACCTTTCACTAACAAGTAAGTAATACAAGTACATAGGCAAAATGAAAGAGACAGCTGTGGCAAGAGCATCAGGGTTCTCTTTAAAGGCACATACATGTGTCCTGGATGCATGCTTTTCTATTTGGCTGCACCACATAAGAAACCTGTGCCACAGCTGGAGATTTCCTGGTTAAACAATTTGAGTCCTACTATTACCAATATTAAACAGAATCTGCAGCATAATGAAATTGTGGCAAGAATAAAATTGAATGTTAAGAGTCTCAATATTGTGCTATGGTAAATTTTTGTATTCTTGTCTTTCATTTTTGCTAATGTGCTTTGTCTATATGCCTTTTTGTGTTTTTTTGTTAACATGTTTGTTTTTATTGTAATTAAGATTATAACACAATGTTGACTGCTCTACCCCTATTTTTGACATTTTTACCTATTATGTCTGTTTGTTTTGTTCACATATTGTTATCAATATAATGGAATTTTATGTGACTGTCATACAAGTGAGAGGTTTAGCTAGCTAAAAAACCAGGTTTAATCCACCATTTTTTTTACATAAGAAAATGTCTGTACCAAGTCAGGAATATGACAGTTGTTATCCATTCGTTTGATGTGTTTGAGCTTTTGATTTTGCCATTTGATTAGGGACTTTCCGTCTTCAATTGGAGTTCTGTATTTTTGTTATTTTACTTTTTTCATAACTATGGAATATCAAATCCTAACATTTTCATTTTCTTTTGGATTTTTGCCGTCTAATTGATGTATACCCAACATCTCCTTTTATGGAATATTCATAAATATTTTTTGCTGATAATAAAGTCGTGACCACAAGCAAAATTCCTCAGGATATTTTCTGGTTTTGGAATGTCATTAAAAATTTTAAATAGAGTGAAAATAGTGTTTTGTTAGTTAGTATGAAATAATAGTATGCCAATAATACCTTGGTTGTGAGCGATCTGGGAAATTATAGAATTTGTGCAGACATAGTGCTCAGGATTAACAAAATGGTGTTCAGCAATGGCTGCATAGTGATATGTAAGAGTTAGAATCATATGTTGTACAAGAACACTTTTTTCAATTTTATGCAGTTTTATTTCATAACTATATAAATTACTTTTTTGAGTTAAAGACTTTTAAAAAACAAGAGTGCACACGCTGAAATGTCTCGCCTTTTTTTACTGACCATTGATTTTATGTTGAAAGTCTTAATGATAAAGGTTTTATTAAAAGTATCACATAAACTTTACATTTTTAAAGATCCATGACAATGAGATCAAGGTCAGATAAAAACTGTCACACAGACATGTACACCTTACAATTATTCCATACACCAAGTTGACCCATTGCTTATTGTAATTGATTAACAGACTAAAACACAATAAAATGCTCCGCTGGGGCGCAGCTTGATACGACCGCAGAGGTCGAACCCTGAACAGTTGGGACAAGTATGGACACAACATTCAAGCTTGATACAGCACTGAATTTGGATTGTAATTAAATATTTGACACAGCATAGGTTTCTCACACAGAATGAAAGTAGTCTAAGAACTTAAAATTTTTTAATTTACCTATTCAAACCATATCATTATTATTTGCTTTTATATATAAATCAGAAATAACCAATTTAAAATGGAAAATTTTAAAGAAAAAAAAGGAAAAAAAAATCCGCCCCCCAAATTTTTTGAAACCCCCTTATGATTCATCACCCCCAAACTCAATCCCAGCCTTCCCTTTGTGGTATGGTACCTTGCAGTACAATTTCAGAGAGATCCATACACTTGAACACAAATTATTGTCTGGAAACTAGAAAAATGCTTGGGTTTTTTGCACCTTTTTGGCCCCAAATTCCTAAAAGTTTAGGGCAATTACCCCCAAACTCAAACCAAGCTATCCCTTTGAGATATGGAACCTTGCAGTACATTGTCATAAAGATCCATACACTTACACACAAGTTATTGTCATGAAACTAGAAAAATGCTTGTTTTTTTGCCCCTTTATGGCCCCAAATTCCTAACATTTTGAGACAATTACCCCCAAAAACAATCCCAGCCTTCCCTTTGTGGTATGGTACCTTGCAGTACAATTTCAGAGAGATCCATACACTTGAACACAAGTTATTGTCTGGAAACTAGAAAAATGCTTATTTTTGGCCCCTTATTCCTAAACGTTTTGGGCAAGTACCCCCAAACTCAATTCCAGCTTTCCCTTTGTGATATGGAACCTTGTAGTACAATTTCATAAATATCCATACACTTACACACAAGTTATTGTCATGAAACTAGAAAAATGCTTGTTTTTTGCCCCCTAATTCCTAAAATTTGGAGGCAATTACCCCCAAAATCAATCCCAGCATTCAAACCCTCAATCAGCATCATTTAACAGTAATATCTAAAAATGGAAATTACATAATAAAGGTATTAAAATAGAAAATGACATCATAGTCATGGCTAAAAATAAACAAAATCCTTAATCAGCAACATTTTACAGTAATATCTAAAAATAAAATTCCTTTGTAACCATAAAAGCCCATTTAAATACATCATGACAGATATTAAAATAGAAAATGACATCATAGTCATGGCTAAACATAGCAAAAACCTTAATCAGCATCATTTAACAGTAATATCTAAAAATAAAAATTTCTTTGCAACCATAAAAGTAAAATAGAAAATGACATCATAATCATAGCTAAAAATAAACAAAAATTTTTTTTATTACCAAATTTTAAATGGAGTTTATTAAACTAAAACAATAAATTTGCAACCATAAAACCCCATTTAAACACATCATAAAAGTATTAAATAATTCAACTACATCATAAGGCTATAAAAATAGAAAATGACTTCATAGTCAAGGCTAAAGGTAAACAAAAAACCTTCATCAGCAAAATTTTATATTGGCAAATTTCCAATGAAGTTTATTATACTAAAATTGTTGGCAAATTTCCAATGCATTTATTAACAATAAAGTTATTGGCAAATTTCCAATTTACATAATTTAAAAGCAGTGTAAGTGAGATATTTAAATGAGTTTGAATTACCAACCTTACACTGCTTTTAAATAATGTTTTGTACTTATTTGTCTATTAACCTGGAAACCCTTGTTTTTTCACCTTTTTTTCCCTTATTATTTAAAGGTTTGAGCCATAACCCTACCCCAAAGCCAATTCTTAAATTCCAATGTAACCTAAATTTACAATATACATAACTTCAATTTAAGTTTTTGATAAAATCAAACCACATCATTATTATTTGCTTTTATATCTAAATCAGAAATAATTAACCAACTTTAAGTGGAAAATTTTCACACATCACGCCCCCCCAAACTCAATCCCAGCCTTCAGTTTGTGGTATGGTACCTTGCAGTACAATTTCACAGAGATCCAATTACTTAAACACAATTAATTGTTGGAAACTAAAAAAAAATGCTTATTTTTAACCCCTTTTTTAGCCCCTTATTCCTAAACATTTGAGCAATTATCCCCCAAACTCAATTCCAACTTTCTCTTTGTGATCAGAATTAACCAACTTAAAATGGAAATTTTAAAGAAAAAAAAAAGGAAAAAAAATCCCCCCCTCCAAAATTTTTTGACCCACTTCCCTTTGTGGTATGGTACCTTTAAGTACAATTTCAGAGAAATCCATACACTTGAACACAAGTTAATGTCTGGAAACTAAAAAAATGCTTATTTTTGCCCCCTTTTTTGGCCACTTATTAATAAATGTTTTGGGCAAACATTTTACAATAATATTTAAAACTGAAATTAATTTGTAACCTTAAAATTAAATAGAAAATGACATCATAGTCATAGCTAAAAATAAACAAACTATTGGTAAATTTCCAATGGAGTTTATCATATTAAAACAATAAATTTGCAACCATAAAAGCGCATTAAAATACATCATAAAAGTATTAAAATTTTTTTTAACTACATCATAAGGCTATTAAAATAGAAAATGACATCATAGTCAGACTAAAGGTAAACAAAAAACCTTCATCAGCAAAATTTTATATTGGCAAATTTCCAATGAAGTTTATTATACTAAAATAATTGGCAAATTTCCAATTTACATAATTCAAACATAGTGCAGGTGAGATATTTAAATGAGTTTGAATTACCAACCTTACACTGCTTTTAAATAATGTTCTTTACTCAATTATTTGTCTATTAAAATGGAAACCCTAGTTTTTTAACCTTTTTTCCCCTTATTCCTTAAACGAAAAAAAAAATAATTACCCCTTTTTTGACCCTCCCCCTATGATTCATCACCCCCCCCCCCCATCCCCCAAACCAAGCTCAATAACAGCCTTGCCTTTGTGGTATGGTACCTTGTAATACAATTTTAGAGAGATCCATACACTTGAACACAAGTTATTGTCTAGAAACTAAAAAATGCTTATTTTTCACCCCTTTTTAGGCCCCTTATTACTAAACGTTTTGGGCAATTACCACAAAACTCAATTCCAGCTTTCCCTTTGCGAAATGGAACCCTGTAGTAAAATTTCAGAAAGATCCATACACTAACACACAAGTTATTGTCATGAAACTAGAAAAATGCTTGTTTTTTGCCCCCTTTTGGCCCCTTATTCCTAAAATTTCGAGGAAATTAACCCCAAAATCAATCCCATCATCGACCCTTTGTGATATGGAATCTTGTAGTACAATGTCAAAGAGATCCATACAATAACACACAAGTTATGTCTGGAAGTTACAAAAATGCTTATTTTCGGCCCCTTTTTGGCCCCTAATTATTTAACTGTTGGTACCATAACCCCCAAAATCAATCCCCACCTTCCTATTGTGGTATTGAACCTTATGGTAAAATTTCATAGAGATCCATTCACTTAAACTAAAGTTAGAGTGCGAAAACCATTGTGTATTCGGACGACGACGACGCCAGACGACGACGACGACGACGACGACGACGACGCCAACGTCATACCAATATACGACCACAAAATTTTTTTGCGGTTGTATAAAAACTTAATGTTAACCAATGAACCATGAATATGAGGTCAAGGTCAGATGATACTGGCTAGACAGACATGTACAAATTACAATCATTCAATACACCAATTATAGTTGACCTATTGCTATAAGTATTTAAAAAACAGACTAAAGCACAAAAACTTAACATTGACCAATGAAGCATGAAAATGAGGTCAAGGTCAGAAACCTGCCAGTCTGACATGTACTCCTTACAATCATTATGATATTCATATGATGAAGACATAATCTTTCAATCAGTTTAATTGAAGTCTGGAGCTGGCATGTCAGTTAACTGCTAGTAGTCTGTTGTTATTTATGTATTATTGTCATTTTGTTTATTTTCTTTGGTTACATCTTCTGACATCAGACTCAGACTTCTCTTGAACTGAATTTTAATGTGCGTATTGTTATGCGTTTACTTTTCTACATTGGCTAGAGGTATAGGGGGAGGGTTGAGATCTCATAAACATGTTTAACCCCGCCGCATTTTTGCGCCTGTCCCAAGTCAGGAGCCTCTAGCCTTTGTTAGTCTTGTATTATTTTTAATTTTAGTTTCTTGTGTACAATTTGGAGTTTAATATGGCGTTCATTATCACTGAACTAGTATATATATTTGTTTAGGGGCCAGCTGAAGGATGCCTCCGGGTGCAGGAATTTCTCGCTGCATTGAAGACCTGTTGGTGACCTTCTGCTGTTGTCTGTTCTATGGTCGGGTTGTTGCCTCTTTGACACATTCCCCATTTCCATTCTCAATTTTATTCCATACACCACATATAGTTGACCTACTGCTTGTAGTATCTGAGAAATGGACCTAATCAGGTAACTTTAACCTTGATCATGGATTCAAGAATTGAGGTCGAGGTCAGGTTAACCTTGTCTGATAGACATGTAGATTTTGCAAGGAACCCATATACCAAATATAGTTATCCTATTACTCATAATAAGTGAGAAATTCACATGACAAAAAACTGTAATTTTTTTTTCAAGCAGTCGCTGAACCATGAAAATGAGGTCAACGACTATGGGCATATGACAGGCAGAAACTTCTTAACATAAGGTATCTGCATACAAGGTATGAAGCATCCAGGTCTTCTACCTTCTGAAATATAAAGCTTTATACAAATAGTTTACACCGCCATGGATAGTAATACCTATGTCTCGCATACTACGACTTTCATCTCAAGCGAGACAAAAACTAACCATTTACATTATTGTAAAATATTGATCGACTGTTCTGATGACTTGATGATCCACCTATATCCCACAATTCTGTGAAGTATGTTTTCTCTGATGGAGTTCCAGCTTTATAGTCATGAAGCTAAAAAAAATAATCCTTCATAAATATATATCTTTATCATATCTTAAAAATAATTCTAGATTCACTACTAAAAGTTTTATTATTTAGACAATATTGAAGATATATGGCACTTGTTTCAGTGGAAGATAGACATCTAGATATGTAAAAGAATCAATAAAACAATTTTCGTCATTTTGCTATACAAAAAAACATAAAAACAAAAACATTAAAAAATATTGTTAACTCCTTACCTTGACCTCTACTGAACAACCGATAGTATAACCTGGATTAGAATTTGGTTCATTATGACACATTAAATGTACTAGTGAAGTTTTTCCAACACCTAAAAGTATACAGATGTAAAAGATATTAGACATGTAAATTGACACATCAATTGCCATGTGAAGCAAGACAACTCACCCCACTGTCGAATCACCCCAGACCAACTAGCCCAACTAATGCTAACCAACTCACCCCAGTAATGAAAAGGAGTTTAATCCCTCTGAATAAAAACCTGCCAACTTGCCTCACTAATGAAAGGAGTCAAAGTCATGTCATAATCAAATATTATGAGTAATTTTCTATCAGGATATTATCTCATATTATCTGATTATCTCAGAAATTATCAACACAACATTAATAACAATAAAGACCCAAAATGTGAATGTGGTCTTATAGAAACCATCGATTATTTTTCTGTTAAGTCCAATAATTATTTAGAAGCTCTACATGATCCTTGCATATTGACTAATTATGCTAATAACTGTTCCTTTTGATAGAAAAAGATAACTCTTCCATGTCAAGGACAACAATTTTTTGCAATTTATGGAGATTTCATCAGTGAATCCCATCATTTTGATTCTTTTTAATTTTATTTACCCGTTGACACATATTATACAAAAGAATATAGTACCAGTGTGAAAAATATTTATAGTAATTTATGTAAGATGACTTTAAGTTACATGAGAAACAACAGTACAGAATATGGTGCAGTATAAATATATAAATTTGTTTACTTGGCAGCCCAGTTTGCCTCTTTACCATTGTTTAATGTTTTGGTGATTTTCAATAATGACACAGGAGGAGGATAACTATTTTTTTTATGTTTTACAGTATTTTGTTGTATTCTTAAGGTGTTTTTTTGTGTAAACTTTTGAACTCTATTAATTGGGCCTCTTTTACTTTAGGGGTCCTATTCCATACCAAGCTGTACTAGACTAACCCTAAACCTAAACCTCACAATTACCCATACCAAACTAGAGGTGTCAGACCACCAATTCACTCACTCCAATTTAGAACATATGTAAAAGTAGCTCTTCCCTGACACAAAATAGTGTGTTTGATGTCATTGTTTACTTGAACTAACCAACAAATTTGCTGAAATGAAACTTTTGGTGAAAAAGAAATATACAGTTAATGTGTTGGTACACAAATTGCACCTATTTTGACAGTTTTTTCACCTACATGTACATTTATTTATGATCCAGACAAAGTTTCCATTCTGTGTTTATTTTGTAGATATATCCATATTTACTATATATTTCCAGCAATTTAATTTTAAATACATATTGAATCATAGAAAAATGGGTTTGAACTGACCCCCAAATGATTCATGATTCTGAAATGAGGAGTATCCAAATACATTTGTGTACAAAAATGTACCATCCAAGCTTAAATTCACAAACAAAAACTTCAAATAACTGCAGTTTTGTTTTATTTCTTCAAATATTGAGAACAATTTGACAATAGGAATGCTCTAGTCAGTTTGCTCCAAGTCCGATTTGTTCCAAGCCAATTCGTCACAGATTTGGTCAGTTAGTCCCAAGTCAATGGACAATAGACCACTTTCGAGTTTATCCGTCACCAGAAAAAACTCGTCAATTATGCGCGCCTTTATGACGTCATTTACCAGATAGAGGGGATCGCCTGTATCCCCGCACTATTAACGTTCATCAAGCGTCTTAGTGATCGTCATTGTGCAGGATAAACTAGAAATAACGTTTGTTTTGTAAGTACTTAATCACAATTCCCTATTGACAGCAGTGCTGATTTTCAATTATGAGAATTTAATTTGCCGAATAATTCGTGCAATATAGCATTATAGTTTTCCAACCACTCGCTCAACATTGGAACGGAAGTGACAATGCCCCTAAACGCACGAATGATGTCCCCTAAAACCAGAGTTTTTGACGGAAATGCATCGAACTCGAAAGTTGTCTATTCATTCCAATACAACAATATACAATATGCTTTATTCAAAAAACACTCCGTCACAATGACATGTGAAACAAGAGGTAAATTTATACAAAATACAATCACATACAACATGTACACTCATAGAAATAAATAGAACAACTTAGAAATGAAATATATTAATAATTACTTTACTTTATAACATTTTCGTTAACTTTGTATATTGTATTGTATTGTATACTTATTTAAGATTTCCTGAAAACCTGTAGTTATTTTTAGTAGTAGTTGCCTTCCGAATACTTGTGTTTCACTACAAGACTTTAAACATTTGTTGAAAATTGGCATGTAGAAAGGTGCTACATGTACAATTCAGGATATACCTGGTTTCTATGAAGTTAAACTTAAGGTAAAATATTTAGAAAGCTGAAAAAATTGAAAAATTTGTTTGACTATATAGGGATTTTGAATTGGTGGTCTCACACCTATTATGTCCTATAACACTTAAGGTTCATCATAACAAATGGACAAAAATGGCTGTGTTTAGACCTAAAAAACTACTCGGAGTACAGACTAACCTGTGCAGTTGGAAAAGTTTTAAGGCCTGGCATCCACTAGATATATAAAAGTTAAATGCATTTTGTTTTTCAGAAAGATAAAACCTTTTTTTGATTTTGATGACCATTTTTTATCGTTCCTGCAGAAGGTTGTTTATTTTTACACCTTCTGAAAGAACGAAAAATGCCCATCAAAATCCTAAAAAGATATTATCTTTCTGAAAAATGCATTTAACTTTATGTATCTAGTGGATGCCAGGCCTTAAAACCTTTCCAACTGCACAGGTTAGTCTGTACTCAGAGTAGTTTTTTGAGGTGTAAATACAGCCATTTTTGTCTATTTGTTATGTCTTATGATGAACCTTAAGCCTTAACCCAAAAACCTTTACCCAAATAAAGATACATCATACAGCTAGTACTATTGATTGGTTTAAATAAACTTGTCATGTAAATATCAAATTTGGAAATTTTACCAGAATCGCCAACGACTATGATCTTTATCTTATCATAAGCTTGAAACCCTGCCATAATCCATTTCCAACCTGTATTTTTAAGGGGTGATGTGTCTGGGTGGAGGGTTATTTGCTCTTGATGCGTCTTGATACCAGAATGCCGTGCACCGTTACAAGATTGTTTTACTTCAACTTATTATTATTGATATTCCGTAATACATGCTTGTATTGTTTATTTTATCAAGACATTTTATACTATGATTTTATGATGTTCTTAAAAAATTGTGTATGCTATTTTTCTTTATTGGTCGTTGCACAAAATTTACGGTCTTTAGTTCTTCATTACTCATAACTTGTGACTGTCAACAAAAAAACAGAAGGATTTTAGCTGTTCAGGATGGCTTCAACAAATGATAACACTTCTGCAACTCGAAGAAATCAGGTCTCTAATTTAATTAAGTTAACGATCTTAATGATGAAATATATAGAAAATTCGTTTTAACAGATTCATTGGACATTTATAGTCAGTGTCTCACTATGTATTTCTGTGTATTTTTTTTAATTCCTGTTTTGACTTATTTATTGGAAGCATAACAAAAAAAAATATCGAAGAAGTATTGGTAAACATGTTCATCTAAATGTAAAAACATATAATAAAGCTTCCTTTTCAGAATCATTAAGGGTGCACGACCCCTTCTCTAAGGCTGAGTTTTACCAGAGATAGATAGATTACATCTACATCATAGACAATCCATCAGCACATTGATGACTATACATCAGCGCATCGCAAACAGACAGTTTAAAAGATAACAATTTTATGAGTGCAATAATCAAAAATAGTTTTGTGCAAAAATTTAAAAAATAAACACATTTACATATTTACAAACAGGGTAGACAGTAGACTAAGATGTCTAAATGTCCTGACTTTGGATCAGTATTTTAAAGCGATCCAAAGATTTAACGCTGATAATGTTTTGTGGAAGTTAATTCCACAGTACAACTGTAAATGGGAAAAAGATGTACTTAAAGTAATCTGTTCTGGTGATTAATTGTTGGTTACGCTTAATGTTAAGTGGCAAATTTTTCATGTATGTAAAGGACGATCCAGAGACATATAATGCATGTCTTTTAAGTGCAAAATGTCAAAACAATGGGGAAAATCTATGAAATAGACATGCAATTTTGTAAATATACCATGTGGAATGTCAATCATCACAGCTTACCATTTATTACTTCATATAATTGAAAATTTGGATTTTGTGGTAACTCCAGACAAAATTTATACAGATTTATTACCATGATTACAGTGATTTTATTTTTGTCTCGCCTTGACGGAGTCAAAAATCGAGACATAGGTATGCTGTTTCCAGCGGTGGCGACGGCGTCAACAATGTATTAGTTTGTGATTAGGTCTAGTTCATGGTGAACCACTAGTGGTAGGTCAATGATATTTGGTATGCAGTTGTATTAGCATTGGCACATCTCATTACCATGGTGATTATTTGGCCCTGCCCCTTCAGTCAAGGTCTATTGACTTTGAAACTTTGCTTAGTTTACCTGTATTAGTTTGTGATTAGGTCAGTTTATGGGGAACCACTAGTGGTAGGTCAATGATATTTGGTATGCAGTTGTATAAGCATTGGCATATCTCATTTCCATAGAGATTATTTGGCCAAGCACCCTCATTCATGGTCTATTGACTTTGAAACTTTTGCTTAGTTTTCATGTATTAGTTTGTGATTAGGTCAGTTTAAGGGGAACCGTTAGTGGTAGGTCAATGATAATTGGTATGCAGTTGTATAAGCATTAGCACATCTCATTTCCATGGAGAATATTTGGTCCTTACCCTTCAGTCATGGTATATTGACTTTGAAACTTTTGCTTAGTTTACATGTATTAGTTTGCGATTAGGTCAGTTTAAGATCAACCACTAATGTTAAGTCAATGATATTCGGTATCCAAATGTATTGGCATTTGCAAGTTTCATTTCCATGGAGATTATATAACCACACCCCTAATTATAGTTCACTGACTTTGAAACTTTTACATAGTTTACAAGTTAATGTTTGTGTTTAGGTTTGTTTAAAGAGAATGACTTCTGAAAAGTCAATGGTATTTGGTTTGCAGTTGTATTAGCATTGGCACATCTCATTTCCATGGAGATTGTTTAGCCCTGTACCTTCAGTCATGGTTCATTGACTTTGAATATTTGCATAACTTACATGTTAAAGTATTGCTATTTTAATTTCAACATTTACATTAACAAAATAACAAATAGGCGAGACATATCTCTGTGTTAACAGTTTATTTAACATTTTATAGATTTGTCACTTGTTTATTCATATACAATAATGCTGCTGTGTATATTGTTTGCAGAAAATGCTTATGCCTTTTTAATCCAAAAACCTTGTGCTGAGTCATGAAATTCGATTTAAAAGTCTACTAGCACATGTAGCAGTAGCTTGAATAGGTACATATTTGTACTTGTTTAAATTAATTATCTTTAAAAAGAACTTGTTTGAGGGAAATCATTGGTATTTAGCATTGCATGCTGTAATTCTCTATTGACTTAATTAGTGTCAAATTCTCAAATATGAGAGTACAATAAGTATGGGTGATGCTGTGGATTCTCTCAAATTCCCTGACAGTTTGCATTGAAAAAGCAAAAGGGTACATAAGCCTTAAAGTTATTACATTATAACATAAAATATTCTGGTACCTCTTTATAGCTTACATCCCTCTAGAATCTAACCAGAATCCCCAAAAAGGCTATCATTTATATTAATGTCAAAAATGTTGTCATCACTCATAACAACATTTTAGAATTGACGAACAATTTTTATACAACTATTTTTGCGGTCGTATATTGGTATGACGTTGGCGTCGTCGTAGTTGTCCGAAGACACATTGGTTTTTCGCACAATAACTTTAGTTTAAGTGAATGGATCTCTATGAAATTTAAACATAAGGTTTATAACCACAAAAGGAAGGTGGGGATTGATTTTGGGGGTTATAGTCCCAACAGTTTATAATTAGGGGCCAAAAAGGGGCCCAAATAAGCATTTTTCTAGTTTCATGACAATAACTTTTGGAACAGTGTATGGATCTCTCTTAAATTATACCACAGGTTTCCATACCACAAAGAGACGGTTAGGATTGGCTTTGGGGGGTTATGGCTCAAACCGTTTAGGAATTAGGGGCAAAAAAGTGAGAAAACACAAGGGTGTCCTGGTTAATGGACAATTACTTAAGTACAAATTACAGTGTAAGGGAGGTAATTGAAAAATTACTTTGAATTACCTCCCTTACACTGCTTTTAAATTATGTATAAAGAATTTTTGTATTGTCTTGAGGTGATTAGCTGTCAATTAATTTTTAGAAGTTACTATTTTAATAATTTTAAAAATGCTGGTTAAGGTTAATTAATTTTAGCTATGATTATGTATGTCATTTACTATTTTAAAACTTTTTATGATGTATTTAAATGGGTTATTATGGTTGCAAACTCCATTGGAAATTTGAATTGAAATTATGACCATGACTGAGGGAAAGAATTTTTTTTGGAAAAAGAGGGGGGGGGGACAATTTTCTCTCATCAAGATTTCAGAAATCAAAAAGAAAATCCTTCAAATTTTTTTTTGGAAAAAAAGGGGGGGTGGGGAGGTCAATTCGCAACAGCATAGTGAATTGCACAAAAGCAAAAAATTGAATATAAATTCAAATCATATAACCAATTCTAAGTTCTTTGACTACAGTTATTCTGTGTCAGAAACCTATTATGTGTCAAATATTGAATTACAATCCAAATTCAGACCTGTATCAAGCGCGAATATTGTGTCCATTTTTGCCCCAACTGTTCAGGGTTGGACCTCTGCGGTCGTATCCAGCTGCACTCGACAAAGCAATTTATTGTAACCTGTATGCATTTTCATTTTACAATAGCATTTTGTGATTTGACTTTCACAAATATCTGTTTTACTTTATTTTTCACAAGACAGTTACTGTGTTTGGAGAGTTTCTACTGTCAATTTTGGGATTATACAATTACACATACGGATTATCATGTTTTTTTGCGTGTGTTTAATTTTTTTATTTGTTCGGGGTAGCTACTAAAACGTGAAATATTTAAAACCGCGCAAATATTCCTGCTTATTCCAAGATTTGAATCTGTTTAAACATTTCATACATTATTCCAGAAACATATAAGTAGTATTAATACAAATTATATGTCTCCGATTATATTGTTAATTATTGAGGTCACACAAAATTGTTTCATCATAAAGGTGAAATAACATTAAAAAGAAAATCAGTCTTTTATGTTTATCAACAGATCACAAGAATGTGCGAATTGAATTAAAATCTGTTTTCATAATAACTGAATTGGCTAATGACAACAATTTTCTCCAAATTATGTGTATTTTAGTTTGTGTAGAACTTGTATTTTGGTGTAAACTATTCTCTGTCAGTGAATCAACTTTATGTTAATTACATCTTAATTATTATATACAAGTGATTTTTATACGCCCGTTTACGAGATGTATTATGGTATACCGTTGACCGTCTGTCCGTCCGTCTGTCCGTCCGTCCGTCGTCAACATGTCGGACATTAATTCAAAAACGCTTTAACCAATATGCATGAAACTTTTTGTGAATTGTTCATATCTATTGACGTGAGCTCCCTTTCGTTTTTTATAAATTTCAGATTTACCATTTCCGAGTTTTGGGGTTTTATTCATTAAAAAAGGGGAGATTTTCCAGTTTTCTGACAATAACTCAAAAACAATTTCACCAATTTGCATGAAACTTTTTGTGAATTGTTCATATCTATTGACGTGAGCTCCTTTTCGTTTTTTATAAATTTCAGATTTACCGTTTCCGAGTTTTGGGGTTTTATTCATTAAAAAAGGGGGGATTTTCCAGTTTTCAGACAATAACTCAAAATGAATTTCACCAATTTGCATGAAACTTTAATGAATTGTTCATATCTATTGACGTGAGCTCCCTTTCGTTTTTTATAAATTTCGGATTTACCGTTTCCGAGTTTTGGGGTTTTATTCATTAAAAAAGGGGGGATTTTCCAGTTTTCAGACAATAACTCAAAAACAATTTCACCAATTTGCAAGAAACTTTCGTGAATTGTTTATTGCTATTGACATGAGCTCCCTTTTGATTTTTATAAATTTTAGACTATACGTTTCCGATTTATGGGGTTTTATTCATTACAAAAAGGGGATTTTTCAGTTTCCTGACAATAACTCAAAAATACTTTCAGCATTTTTTATGAAACTTTGGTAAATTGTTTATATCTATTTTTGTAAGCTCCCTTTTGATTTTTATAAATATTCGATTTTACATTTCCGAGGTTTTATTTGTTTATAGTCTGACAACAGATTTACTAAGTATTGCGCAACAGCAGTGTATTGCACAACAGCAAGAAATCTTTCATATTACCAATTTCAAGTTCTTTGACTACATTTATTCAGAAACCTATAATATATCAAATAATTATTTACAATCCAAATTTAGACCTGTATCAAGCAGTTTATTTCTAGTGTATTTTCCCAATTAGTGAAAATAATACCCAGTTCTACAATTATTTGTACCCATTTATACCTGCGATGTACGGTATCTAATTTACTTACTCAAACTTAAATGTAAACAACAATCATTGTCATCTCCACTCTGAATCATCAATAAAACTGCATTTGTGACTGTCAAATCACCGGTTGACCCTGGCAACTCAACTCTTCAAATATTGTTATTTTATTCCTATTCAGAATTGAGCATAAATTTAAACAAATCATCTAATTCACACAAACAAACTAATCTTTGTGAGTGATTAATTTAATAACTTTTGATAGTAGAGGGGCATTATGTTTTTCAGTCTGTGCATCCCTTCATTCGTTTGTTTGTCCATTCGTTCGTCCCTCCGTTCATCCGTCTGTCCTGTTTCAGGTTAATATTTTTGGTCAAGGTAGTTTTTGATGAAGTTGAAGTCCAATCAACTTGAAACTTAGTACACATGTTCCTTATGATATGATCTTTCTAATGTTAATGCCAAATTAGAGTTTGGACCCCAATTTCATGGTCCACTGAACATAGAAAATGATAGTGGGACATCCGTGTACTATGGACACATTCTTGTTTTTATATGAATGCATAATCAATACTGTAAATTCAGAAATTATTGTGTGCATTTATTATTGCCATTTTTTGAGAATGGACAAAAATGTGAGATTAATTATTGCGATTTCAGGAAAATCTGCATGCAGATATTTGAATCAGATATCAGAATGCGAGTTCTTATCATTGCGATATTAACCCAGTCGCATTTTTCGCATTAATAAAAACCTTGCAATAATTTCTGAATTTACAATCTTAGGAAATGCAAAACTCAATTGCCGATAAATTGGCTTGAAAGCTAAGGGATAAACATGGAAAAAGGTATCCACAAAAATAAGTTGTTTTATAGTATCATGTACATAAAAGCACATGCAATGATATCTTGTCCATTTGTAGGTAATGGTTGGAGAATTACCAGAAGATTTTTTGAGAGTACCAGTAGATGTAGCACAAGCTCAAGTAATGGCTGATGAAAGAGTTGCAAGGCTTGTACAAGCACAGCAACAAGGTGGATTTGTTGCTATCCCAGCAAACACTGTTGGTAGACTTACTATAACTGTTGCACAGGTAAAATACACCTCAATTCAGCTTTCTCAAAATGGCACAGACCTCTTCCCAGCCCATTATCCATTAAATCTTTCAATGATTGAAAATACTGGATTATTATAAAAATTTAGATGTGGTATGATTGCCAATGAGACAACTATCCAACAGAGTCCAAAAGAAGCGGATTAAAGCAACTATAGGTCATTGTACGACTATATGAAATAAAGTTTTTGATACGATAAGGAGGACTCTATGAAATAAATTACTAACTTTTTGGTTAAATAAAATTTCAACAAACTAAATAGGGATTGATTTTCCGGCTCCAGCTCCTGCTCCGGCTCCTTTTTATACGACCGCAAAAAATTTTTTGTGGTCGTATATTGGTATGACGTTGGCGTCGTCGTCGTCCGGCGTCGTCGTCCGAAGACGCATTAGTTTTCGCACTCTAACTTTAGTTTAAGTGAATGGATCTCTATGAAATTTTACCATAAGGTTCAATACAACAAAAGGAAGGTGGGGATTGATTTTGGGGGTTATGGTACCAACAGTTAAGGAATTAGGGGCCAAAAAGGGGCCAAAAATAAGCATTTTCTAGTTTCCAGACAATAACTGTGGAACGGTGTATGGATCTCTCTGAAATTATACTACAAGTTTCCATACCACAAAGGGATGGTTAGGATTTGCTTTGGGGGGTTATGGCTCAAACCGTTTAAGAATTAGGGGCAAAAAAGGGGGAAAAACAAGGTTGTCCTGGTTAATGGACAAATACTTTAGTACAAAACATAATTTAAAGCAGTGTAAGGGAGATAAATCAAATACATCATTGAAATTATCTCCCTTACACTGCTTTTAAATTATGTATAAAGTAATGGTTAATGAACAATTAAGATAATTTAAAACAGTGTAAGGGAGGTAATCCAAATACAACGTTTTGGTTACTTCCCTTACACTGCTTTTAAATTATGTTTAAAGAAATGCATATTTATAAAGGAAGACCAGTAAAAATATCTGCAAATGTTGCATCTTTTTTTTTTACAAAAAAATCCATATGAAAGATTTGACACTATATTTTAAATTCTATTATAAAATAGATTAAGTTAGCACTATGGTAAATTTAAATGGGTAATTATGGTTTGGGGAAAAAAGGGGGGGGGGGGGGGGGGGGGTAAAAAGAAATTGTGGGGGGTAAATTTTTTCTCATTTCAGATTTCAGAAATTAAAAAGAATTATTCTTCAAATATTATTTTTTTTTCAAATTTCAAATATTGAAAAATTTCAAGAAGTAATCTTTAATTGCACAGTATGGCGCATTAGATTTGTAAAATCTTTGACCACATTTATTTATTTGTTTTGCCGAATCTAACCGTGTATTTAGATTTTTAATTTTGGATCCAGTTTTCAAATTGGTCTACATTAAGGTCCAAAGGGTCCAAAATTAAACTTTGTTTGATTTTAACAAAAATTGAATATATGGGGTTCTTTGATATGCTGAATCTAAACATGTATTTAGATTTTTGATTTTTGGCCCAGTTTTCAAGTTGGTCCAAATTGGGGTCCAAAATTAAACTTTGTTTGATTTCAACAAAAATTGAATATATGGGGTTCTTTGATATGCTGAATCTAACCATGTATTTAGATTTTTTATTTGTGGACCCCGCTATCAAATTGGTTCATATTGAGGTCAAAAGGGTCCAAAATTAAACTTTGTTTGATTTCATCAAAAATTGAATTATTGGAGTTCTTTGATATGCCAAATCTAACCGTGTATTTAGATTTTTAATTTTGGGTCCCGTTTTTTAAATTGGTCTACATTAAGGTCCAAAGGGTCCAAAATTAAACTTAGTTTGATTTTAACAAAAATTGAATTCTTGGGGTTCTTTGATATGCTGAATCTAAACATGTGTTTAGATTTTTGATTATGGGCCCAGTTTTCAAGTTGGTCCAAGTTGGGGTCCAAAATTAAACTTTGTTTGATTTCAACAAAAATTGAATATATGGGGTTCTTTGATATGCTGAATCTAAACATGTATTTAGATTTTAGATTTTTGGCCCAGTTTTCAAGTTGGTCCAAACTGGGGTCCAAAATTAAACTTTGTTTGATTTCAACAAAAATTGAATATATGGGGTTCTTTGATATGCTGAATCTTACCATGTATTTAGATTTTTTATTTGTGGGCCCGCTATCAAATTGGTTCATATTGAGGTCAAAAGGGTCCAAAATTAAACTTTGTTTGATTTCATCAAAAATTGAATTATTGGAGTTCTTTGATATGCCAAATCTAACCGTGTATTTAGATTTTTAATTTTGGGTCCCGTTTTTTAAATTGGTCTACATTAAGGTCCAAAGGGTCCAAAATTAAACTTAGTTTGATTTTAACAAAAATTGAATTTTTGGGGTTCTTTGATATGCTGAATCTAAACATGTGTTTAGATTTTTGATTATGGGCCTAGTTTTCAAGTTGGTCCAAGTTGGGGTCCAAAATTAAACTTTGTTTGATTTCAACAAAAATTGAATATATGGGGTTCTTTGATATGCTGAATCTAAACATGTATTTAGATCTTAGATTTTTGGCCCAGTTTTCAAGTTGGTCCAAATTGGGGTCCAAAATTAAACTTTGTTTGATTTCAACAAAAATTGAATATATGGGGTTCTTTGATATGCTGAATCTTACCATGTATTTAGATTTTTTATTTGTGGACCCCGCTATCAAATTGGTTCATATTGAGGTCAAAAGGGTCACAAAATTAAACTTTGTTTGATTTCATCAAAAATTGAATTATTGGGGTTCTTTGATATGCCAAATCTAACCGTGTTTTTAGATTTTTACTTTTGGGTCCTGTTTTTTAAATTGGTCTACATTAAGGTCCAAAGGGTCCAAAATTAAACTTAGTTTGATTTTAACAAAAATTGAATTCTTGGGGTTCTTTGATATGCTGAATCTAAACATGTGTTTAGATTTTTGATTATGGGCCCAGTTTTCAAGTTTGTCCAAGTTGGGGTCCAAAATTAAACTTTGTTTGATTTCAACAAAAATTGAATATATGGGGTTCTTTGATATGCCGAATCTAACCATGTATTTTTATTTTGGACATTGGACCATAATAGGTAAATTAAAAAAAATGAAGTTCTTAGACCACATTGTTTCTGTGTCAGAAACCTATGCTGTGTCAAATATTTAATCACAATCCAAATTCAGAGCTGTATCAAGCTTGAATGTTGTGTCCATACTTGCCCCAACTGTTCAGGGTTCGACCTCTGCGGTCGTATCAAGCTGCGCCCAGCGAAGCATTTTATTAAGTTTACTTGTGATAGATCAATGATATTTTGTATGAAGTTGCATTACTATCAGTACATATCAGTTTGACAACTATTTTGAGGCCCCGCCCCCTAGGACATGGTGCAGTGACTTTGAATTAATTAGCAATTTTCAATGTTAAGTATTCTGTTTTAGTGATAGGATCTACTTGTGATAGATCAATGATATTTTTTATGAAGTTGCATTACTATCAATTCATATCAGTTTGAAAACTATTTCGAGGCCCTGCCCCCTTTATCATGGTCCAGTGAATTTGAATTAATTAGCAATTTTCAATGTTACTTTTTCTGCTTTAATAAGTTATATTGATAGGAACTACTTACAATAAACAACGAAATTTTCTATAAAGTTACATTTACCGTCTGTACATCTCAGTTTGTCGACCATTTTCAGGTCCTGCCCAATAGATCATGGTCCAGTGACTGAATTAATAAGCAATGTTGCTGTCCGTCTTTTCCTGAATTTTATGCCAATAGGCGAGATATATCTCTGTGTCAATAGTTTATTTGAATGTGTAGTGTACATGAAAAAAAAAGGAATCTTAACTTTCTAACACTTATTTGGTAGTTGTAGAAAATCTGGAATGTAGTACAATATTTGGTACATGTATAAACAAATTGACAAGGTACATTAAATTACATCAAATGGTTTACTGAATAAAAAAGGGTTTTATTACTGATCATTGTCTTGGACATCACAACAATGTATTCATTGATGAATTATATAATAAAGATGAAAGAATGAGACACTATTAATCTGCAGCAAGTTTATGTCCACACTAAAGATGCAGAAGTAACATGAGCAAAATTTTGCGGTCGTATATTGGTATCACGTTGTCGTCCGAAGACACATTGGTTTCCGGAAAATAACTTTTGTTTAAGTGTATGGATTTCTATGAAATTTTACCATAAGGTTTATGACCACAAAAGGAAGGTTGGGATGGATTTTGGGGGTTATGGTCCTAACAGTTCAGGAATTAGGGGCCAAAATGGGGCCCAAATAAGCATTTTTCTAGTTTCCAGACAATGACTTGTGAAATGGTGTATGGATCTCTCTGAAATTATACCAAAAGTTACCATATCACAAAGGGATGGTAAGAATTTGCTTTGGGGGGTTATGGCTCAAACTGTTTAGGAATAAGGGGCAAACAAGGGGGAAAACAAGGGTTTCCAGGTTAATGGACAATTACTTAAGTACAAAACATAATTTTAAAGCAGTGTAAGGGAGGTAATTCAAACACATATTGTCAAATTACCTCCCTTACACTGCTTGTAAATTATTTATAAAGAAATGTATTGTCTTTAGGTGATTAGCTGTCAATTTATTTTTAGAAGTTACTATTTTAAAAATGTTTAATAAAGGTAATTTAATTATAGCCATGATTATGTATGTGAAGGAATTTTATTTTTAGATATTACTATTTAATGTTGCTGATGGAGGCTTTTTAATTTAAAAAAAAAAAATTTCTAGTTTCCAGACAGTAACTTGTGATTAAGTGTATGAATCTCTCTAAAATTGTACTACAAGGTTCCATACTACAAAGGAAAGACTGCAATTGAGTTTGATGGTTAATGCTTAAAGGGGGATTCAAAAAGTATGGGGGGAAGGGGTGGTTTCCAATTTTTTTTTTAAAAGGGTTCATATTTTTTTTTCAAAATTTTCAAAATTTCAAATTTTTTAAAAGTTTCAAGAAGAAATCTTCAATTGCACAGTATTGCGCATTGGAATTGTAAGATCTTTGACTACATTTATTTTGTGTCAGAAACCTATATTATGTCAAAAATTTGATCACAATCCAAATTCAGATAGTATCAAGCTTGAATATTGTGTCCAAATTTGCCCCAACTGTTCAGGGTTCAACCACTGCGGTCGTATCAGGCTGCGCTCAGCAAAGCATTTTATTTATTATTTGCCGCATTGAAATGAAACTTGAATCATGTGAATGTTATTTGAACATTTATATATGTATATATGGAGTATATCAATGAATTATAAACACAAAAGTTAATGGCTCTGTTTTCTGACAAATTAAAATGTACTTAACTTAAATTTCACCTTTTCAGGCAAAGTTGAATAAGAACTATGGTCTAACAAAGATGGATCCATATGTTAGAATGAGAATTGGTCACTCTGTGTTTGAGACACCTACTGATTATAATGGTGCCAAAACTCCTAGATGGAACAGAAATGTTAATGTGTAAGATATAAATTGTGGTGTTCAAAATATAGACCATGTTTTTAATGAAACCTAAAATTGCAAGAACTGTGAATTTTAACTACTTTTTTATTTGAATACACATTCTAAATTCAATAGGTAAAGAGGTCAAGTGCATTGAAAATGAATCCCTATTGTATGACTAAGATTGTATGTTATGAAAGAATTATTTAAAAATATATAGATGTATATTTTGATTAACTGTCAATCAGCTGTAAAAGAACTATCTATTGAAACAGATTTTTTTATGCCCCGCAACTAAAAGTTGGGAGTCATATTGTTTTACCCCTATCTGTCTGTCCGTCCTTCCGTCCGTTTGTCTGTCTGTCCTTCTGTCCGTCTGTCCCATTATGGGTATATAGTTATTCCATATTACACCTCCTACAGTTTGAATGCTAGGAAGTTTTCACTTTGCTGGTTGTTTGTACATATATTGAAGGTGTGCATGTGGTCAGGGTTTTGATTTTTATTAATATTTGTTCTATTAGGAGATAGTTGAACTTTGTCATTTTTATGCCCCCGCCGTAGCGGTGGGGGCATTAAGTTTTACCCTTGTCCGTTTGTACGTACGTCCCAAAATTGGTTTCCGTTCTCTAACATGAGTTTGCCTCAACTAAATGTTATGAAACTTATACATAATGCTTATTACCACAAAACACAGATCAAGTTTGAATTTTGGTGGCGTCACTTTAACAGTTCTAGAGTTATGCCCCTTTATAAATGGAAAAATGGCAAAGTTTTTAGTTTCCGTTCTCTAACTTAAGTTTGCCTCAACCAAATGTTATGAAACTTATACACAATGTTTATTACCACAAAACACAGATCATGTTTGAATTTTGGTGGCGTCACTTTAACTGTTCTAGAGTTATGCCCCTTTATAAATAGAAAAATTGCAAAATGTTTAGTTTCCGTTCTCTAACTTAAGTTTGCCTCTACCAAATGTTATGAAACTTACACACAATGCTTATTACCACAAAACACAGATCAAGTTTGAATTTTGATGGCATCACTTTAACCGTTCTAGAGTTATGCCCCTTTATAAATGGAAAAATTGCAAAATTTTTATTTTCTTCTAAATATCAAGTTATTTTTAAAATTGGAGTTATCTTCCTTTGTCCATGATTATAGTTGAATCAACTACAATCAATGTTTTATACAATGCAATGTTTAATTTTGACTTCCACTGATAAAACACAGATCAAGTTGAATTTGGGTAGTGTCACTTTAACCATTATTGAGTTATGCCCCTTTTTAAATCTTATATAAATTTATAAAACTTATACACAACCGTTCTAGAGTTATGCGTATTTACAAATAGAAAAATTGCTGAATTTTTAGTTTCTGTTCTCTACTTAAGTTAGCCTCAACCAAATGTTATGAGACTTACACACAATGCTTATTACCACAAAACTCAGATCAAGTTCAAATTTGAGTAGCGTCACTTTTACCGTTCTTCAGTTATGTCCCTTTATAACTATATGATATGCAAGCGGGGGCATCATCTATCCACATTTATTTGTATTTTAAAATAACACTTTGCATCTGCGGGGGCATCATTTGTGTCTCCCAGACACAATAATATCTTAAAGAAAGTCCTACATTGACTTTGTTATAATACAGTTACTTCAGAGTGGAGTGCGGGGGCATCACTTTGTCTAGTTTAGATTTAATCCATCAGTATTCTAACAGCCTGGGTAATTGGTAAATAGACCAACTACAAAATTAATTTTCTGGCTTTAGTATTTTTTCGATTTTCTCTCAACCCTTAGAAACAGCATTTAATTACTTAGATGTGATTACAGTTTACACAGTTTACAAACACATTTTAGCAAGGTACAATATTCTAGATATTCAGTACTGTTACTATGATTATCAATATTGAACTATTAGTCCTATTACATAACACAATTTACCATAAGACATCTAGAATACAAACACATTTTAGCAAGGTACAATATTCTAGATATTCAGTACTGTTACTATGATTATCAATATTGAACTATTAGTCCTATTACATAACACAATTTACCATAAGACATCTAGAATACAAACACATTTTAGCAAGGTACAATATTCTAGATATTCAGTACTGTTACTATGATTATCAATATTGAACTATTAGTCCTATTACATAACACAATTTACCATAAGACATCTAGAATACAAACACATTTTAGCAAGGTACAATATTCTAGATATTCAGTACTGTTACTAGGATTCTCAATATTGAACTATTAGTCCTATTACATAACACAATTTACCATAAGACATCTAGAATACAAACCAGGGCTTCCAAAATTATTTTTAGCCAGCCGGACATTTTATATATTATCCCGATTTTAATCCCTTAAGAGTAAATAAACAAAAGGCAATTATGGTATTCAGTTGCTGAGTTGGCCATATCAATGATTGACATTAAAAAAAAACGATATTAAACTTTCTTTGATTCAAATTCGAAGTTCTGACGTAAACTGTTAAATTGGCAGTGCATCATTCGAAGTGTGCAACATCAGCGTACTTATATTTGCCTTAGACTCTTTATTTGTGCAAAATAACGTTGTCAAAAACTTTACATTCGTTAAAATCAGGGGAATATAAGTAAGGGGGAGGGAAACCAATGATAATATGCTGGGAAGATCTTATTCGAACCTGTTGGAACTTTACCATATCAATTGAGTAAATATCAGAGGTTATTGAAAAATAAATCGTATCTTGCCATTGGTTTAAAAACATTGACGTCAAAATGACAATAAGTTATAACATGAATATTGATATATTTGAACTCTATTATTCTAAAATTAAAAGGTCAATACTGTTTTGTTTACTAACTAACGCGTATTAATTACAGCCATGCACATGTTTAAATAGGGATCATAATAGGCATATATGATTATAAAATGGCAACATTTAAAAAAAGACCTTAAATTTATATGTTTCTGTTGTGCACATATTTTTGTACAATATTAACGAATTGATGACAGGTAATTTGCATTTGTTAAAATCTTATACCGGATCTTATCTTGACAACGGTAAAACATGGACCAGAGACGGATACGTAAATTCCGTGTACGTTTGCAAAGCATGAATGAGTGTACGTAGCTCTTTCTACGTTATTTCTTCAAGAAAATATTCGAAATAAACATGAGAGAAAGGTATCAATGACAATTTAAGCATTTTTTGAGGAAATTAGGATGCATAACTAAATTTCACACCTGCGCACAAGTGTACTAGTTCAAACAGAGACATGTCTCTGATCAAACAACGTGGTTATGGTTATGACGATTTTTCATTTTCACCTTTTTAATTTTTTCATCAAATCATATTTGTAAACGTATTTCTGATAATTTAAATCTTTTTGACTAAATTAGTTAGATGCAAACCGCTGAAATGTAAGAAAATAACTTTGAATAGACCGATCAATGTCCGGTTCAAAATAGTTTACCTGTCACCTGAACAGGTAAATTTCAGCTGTTCGACAACTAATTAGCCTTGATTAAAATGAGAAGGTATTAAAGTAGGGGTTGTTTTGATAGTACTTAATGATCATGTCACTTTTATGACCGGAAATATGTGGCTGTTAAAGGCAAAAGGTTGGGTCAAAAAGATCGCGAATTATGTTAAAATGACCGTCTCTTAAGAAAGCCTTGAAAACTTAAAAGTAGATGACCGTTTCATGCTTTGCCCAGCCGGACTTTTACCGGACATTATACAAATGTCCGGAATATATGACCGTTTTGGAAGCCTTGATACAAACACATTTTAGCAAGGTACAATATTCTAGATATTCAGTACTGTTACTAGGATTCTCAATATTGAACTATTAGTCCTATTACATAACACAATTTACCATAAGACATCTAGAATACAAACACATTTTAGCAAGGTACAATATTCTAGATATTCAGTACTGTTACTATGATTCTCAATATTGAACTATTAGTCCTATTACATAACATAATTTACCATAAGACATCTAGAAATCAAAGAACAATCTTTGCCATAATAGTATTAAATCTGTTTAACATTAAGTGTTACATTTTTGTTCATAGTCCATAGCAAATTTGTATGCGCTCAATAGAAAAATATATTACCTGTTATTAGATTTTAACAACTTAAAAGTAATTCTATAAGATGTCATGTGCTGGAATATAATATAGAAAAATTAAAATCACATTTCAAGAAATTGATTTTTCTAATTTGACTTTCAGGTATTTACCTCATGGTGTAGACTCCATGTATTTAGAGATTTTTGATGAGGTAAGAAAAGAAATTTTTAAGTGTCACAAAAACAGTTCCTTTCATTTCAGAAACCTTTTTGAAAGCACTTATTAAAACTTGTATATGTAATTATACCTTTTTAAAAAAATTCGCAAAAACAATATAAATTTTATCAATCTTTTCAATAAAAGATCCCAGTAGAACTTTCTGTGCAAATGGTAAGACATTTTTTGTACATACACTTACATATTCCTGCATAAGTTCTTTGGATTATCTCCCCTTTATGCCTTTTAATCACAGAATGCATGTAAATAAAAATGTTGTTTAAATGAATAATATCAGCAATGAATAAAACAAGAAAGAATCATTGATATTTAGATATATGCAGTAAAACTGCCATTACTGTGTATTGGATAATAATTAATTTCCTCCCAAAATGGAAAGTTTAAGCTTCAACATCAAGAATTTTTCCTGATTATTTTAAGTCAGTTTCTCCTGTGAAAGTTATAGCAGTCATTATTTCAACTTTATATTGTAAAAAAGAATATTTGTAATGAGGTATTTTATTAATCTTAATTGATATTATATAGAGGCAGTTAACCATGGATGAAAGAATAGCTTGGGCTTATATCACTATCCCACAGTCAACATTCAATGGAGACACAGCTGATGACTGGTTCCCTCTTAGTGGTAAACAAGGAGATGAGAAGGAAGGCATGATCAATTTAGTTATGACTATGACAGTGAGTAGCAGGAATATCTCAATATAAAAAAGAATCATAAAAAATACCTGTTACACCAGACACATGTTTTGTCTAATTAACTTATTATTGATCTTTCTGTTAGATTTTAAGTTTACTGATTATCATTTAAGACCTTCACCTCTCGAAATGTCTGCTCTTAATTTGATTTTGTTGATATTGTAGAAAGTAGAACAGCAACCAGTAGTTTATCCACAACAATCCGTTCAAGTCATCCCATCAAGTTATCCTCCACAACTAGGTACTGGATATCCTCCACAATTAGGTATGTCATCTATATTTCCTAGGGACAAAACAAGTTTGAAAAAGAAAAATAGAAAACAAATGAGGAAAATAAAAACTCTAAACATGATGGGTAAAGCTAGAACATTCAACTAAAAAAACATTGATTTAGAATTTTTTATGTTATATTCCATGTCAATAAACAGAAAGAGATTGCACAGTTAATTAAAGAATATGTTTTTGAATTTTACATGTTTTATTTATTTTATGATAAACCACATGTGGTATGACTTTTTCTAATTTTTTATGGTCCCATTGCTATCGACAGTAATGAACATACATTTATTTGGTCTCTGGTGGATAGTTTTCTTATTAGCAAATGCAATATAAAAAGCTGATATAACCTAGAAAGACAATGCCATTGTGTTCTATCTAATCAATTGCACATCGACCAAAGGACAATCCATAATGAAAGGGATAATCACGCTTCAGGTTTACGATTCCAATTCAGCTTCTATGAATGCATCTTCAATCCTTTTATCTCAGAAGCATTTTTTTGAAAATATTAACAATAATATACTAGTATGCTAAGAAAAAAATCCACTTCACACAAAGGATATGGAAGGTATTGGAAATTGATTTGATTTGAAATTCAAAATTTAAATCTTTACCTGATATATCTACATCAATCTGAATGACAGTAAAAAAAATAATGCATTTATTTGATTTTAAAAATTTACAGTTTACCAAATGCCCTGCCAGCCACAACAATTACAACAACAACAACAGCAGCCACAAAGACCCCTTTTTACAGATGAGGACTTGACACAAATCAAAGAATTATTTCCAAATATGGAAGAAGAGGTTATCAAATCAGTGTTGGAAGCAAACAGAGGAAATAAAGAGTCGACAATAAATGCTTTACTTCAGATGAACAGTGATTAAGACATTTACCGTACTTTTTGTTTGTTTAAATTTGCTCTGTACTATCTTTGTTATCTTACATTCATATAAACTAAATGTAGGAGTTCTGTTATTGTAAATGTGAATTATTTATTACTAAAATTTATTTAAATGAGTTATCTTCTCAAAATTTGAAAATATTTCCTTATAAATGTGCTTCTTATTGTGAAGAATATGATATACACTTATTTACTTGTTTTTAATGCAATTATTAGAAAATACATGTAAAGTGTGATTCTTCATGAAGAAACATGAAGAATTATTCTAGTTAGTTATAAATATAAACAAGATGTAAAAAGTTATACTGAAATTTTGTTAGATTCCCTCCTGTATGTAAAAGTAAGCATCAACTTATATGGTTAACATGTAGATATGCCTGTTCTTCAACACATGAAGATAAGGCATTATTTTAATGTGATATTTATACTAATACTTAGGTTAACAAGATTATCTCAGTTCTTACTATAAGAGAAATATCAAGTGTAATTCAGGTTGTGGTCACTATGTAAATTTTCTACAACAATACACAGATATGAAAATACTCTGCATATTGTACAGTTTTCAGATCATTTTAGTTATTAAAGAAAATCAACCCTCATGCATACATAGAGAAAAATATATATAAAGCAGCAAACCAAACGTTATAAGTGTAATAGATATCAAGAACTTAATCAAGATGTAAAAAAAATGCTGTGTCAAATTATATTTTTCAAAACTCCATGTAGTGAAGCAATGCCTTTGTGTTTACTTTTGGTAGAGACCCTTGAAGTGGATACCTTGGTATGCAGGGTTGTCAATAAATATTATCAAATAATTAAAGTACCAATTTGACAACAACACTTCATGAGACTGCAATTTTATCAAAATACTGGTGGAATGTTTTTGCCTGCTAGACAGGGGTCATCAGGACCAATTTATATTATGTAAAATGTGCACTATTAATAACTAAACAGTCATCTTTGAATTTATATATATACTATACTGCAGTATACATTGGTATTTGTATCTTTCAACATTTAATGTGAGATAATAAAACATCAGTCTTACAACTTGAACTTATTCATTAATTAACTGTTGATTTCTTTTTTCTAATATATCAATATTAATAGGTATTGTGTGTGTAGTACTATATCTAACTATATAACTCTGTATGTATTATATGTTGTCTTCCTTTTACAGCTAATCTACTAGAGTGTGTACAAACAACAATGGAAATATGTTTACTTTTTTGTTTACTGTAAATTCGGAAATTATTGCGATGTTTTTATTATTGCGAAAAATGCGACATGGTTATAATCGCAATAATTTAAACTCGCATTTTGAAATTTTTTATATAAATTAAACAGGATTTTTCTCAATATCGCAAAAATTAAAATCGCATTTTAGTCTAAAATGACAAAATCGCAATAATAAATGCACGCAATAATTTCTGAATTTACAGTATGTGGATTTGATTTCAATATAAGCTTTGTTTAATACCTGTGGGAAGAGTTATTTTATTCAATTTTTTTTACCAACGATGATGACTGTGGAATCCATTTACCAAGGTTTTTTTCTACTTTTCAAATAGCTTATAAAGTTTATTTGGTTCATTGACAATTTCAATTTCTTTGTATAACTGACACACTCTACTAGTTTAGCTGTAATGAAATGATATTTCTTGCTGTAGTTATTTTAAATTACCGGTAGTAGAAAAGGGACATATTGATGATGGTATTTTAAGTAGATTTAATACTGAAAATGAGGAGATGATTATAATTCTTTTTGCTTTGAGTTATTTCATCGATATAATGTGTGTACATGGATTCACGACTGTGATCATTGTGTCGGCAATATTTTGTTTCCATTTTAATTGTGTTTCATTGTATATTTTCATCCACTAAATGAATTAATCCTCAACAGAATTTTCTGGTTTTTGTTTGTATGATTATGTTTGTTTCAGCGATGTGCCATATATAAAATTACTGTTGTCCATGACAGTTATAACAGCAATAATTGTATTAAGGTCTACATTGTATGCACTAAAGCCTTATACTAAAATAACAAGTAATGAACATTGATTTGGAAATTTTAACAATGCTGAAGTCTTGTTTAAATGTGAGTTTAAAATTTAATACATGTTTGGGGTATTTTTTCAAATCATCTTTCTTTGTCTTATTATATGTACGCAGAGCTATAAGTGTACAAATGTAGATCTTTTAAAAGATTATTTGGCAAGTAAAATATCATTTAGGGAGCAACCATTTAACTTCAAAAGGGGGGGGGGGTTTGTCCGAGTCAGAAATTTTTTTTCACGCTTTTTTTTAGTTTTTCAACACTATCAATCAAATTATTTTTTTCTAAATTTAACACTATAAGGTATGGGGAAAATCTGGATTCAGAAATTTTTTTTTTGTCATCTGCTTGACCACAATATTTTTTTCCATCAAATTGGGGATCAGAATATTTTTTTAGGAAAAAACCAAACCCCCCCCCTTGAAGTTAAATGGTCGTTCCCTTAGACTTTCTATGGTGGTGCCATTCTGTGCTCTGCCTTGCCTTCTATTGACTACTGGTATGTTGCCTTTATTCCATGTTTCTTTGTCATATACTATATATAGTACATAATTCCTCTTGTATGAAAATGGACATTATAAAGTTAACTTTGTATAATGATATGTCAATTGTAGGAATGCACAGAAGAGGTGTATATTTATATTAAATCTGTAAATGATACGTATAGCTCATACCCATGATACAGACTTTATATGGAATTTATTAGCAAGATAGCCACAAACAGTTAAATGTTATAAAACTATGGAAAAATACTGCAAATAATAACTGATTTTCAATTTGTTATATAAGCAGTTGCCATTATTCCAATATAGCAATCTAGTAAATCCAATTAAATTTTTTACAAAAAGTGATTTTTATGTACTTTTGCCTAGTGTGAAATATAAAAGAAAATCTGGAAAACCATGTTGATTTATTCTGCATATTCTAGAAATCATGCTGGTAGATGAATGATAAAACAAATTAAATGAGATTGGCCTAAAGGACAACAGTTAAGATTTTAGTCGGAGCACATATTTTAAAATTCTTAACTTTATATTACTTAATGCTTGCTTCGCTTTAATTGGAATTGGCATGTTGACCAGCTCTGATAGAATTATATATCATAGTACAAACTCTCTTTGTGTATAATAGCAGTCTGTAAGTTTGAAATGTTGAAATTGAATTCCACTTTTTTTCAGTATCATTTAAACTCAACCTGCTCTTCATTTGTAAAACTTTTAATTTACACAATGGTTCATGGTCCAGAAATAATCACCCTTCTGGTGATTTTTTTGTTTTTTATAAAATATGCATAATAGAAACAAACTGTATTTATTTGTATGACTATGATAGTGATTATTAGATTTTGAGCCTTTATTAATTAATCCATATGAATTAAGTAAAACCCAGTAACAAGCAAACTTGAATTGATAATTCCAAAAGCATATACCCTTATATTTAAGAATCCTTATACAAATGTTTGGTTTTTTTTATCAAAAAGCACAATACATGCTGCTGAATATTGTGATGAGTTTAAAAAAAGTTGTCTAAATGGATTAGTTCCCTTGTCAATGTAATGTATGTTTTTGATTACACCGGTTTATTGTACATGTATAGTTTACACAAAGGAGAGGAGGTGTTAAAATCTTTTTATGCCTCTAAATATGATCATGGTCACTGGTTGAGACATATTGTTTGTGTTTTCTTTTGTTTTCTTTAAGACTGGTTTGTTGATTCTGCTTGTTTAAGGCAGGTCATGTATATTGGTGTTGGAAGTTAAAATGATAATACATCAGTCACTGTGATTCTCGATAGTAAAAACATAATTTTATATTGAAATACATGATTTGTGCTTAAATGTTTGTTAACATTATAATCAGCATTGTGGTAATGATTAATTATTATAAATATGTGGAAAATAAAGCAAAATATTTAAAATGATACATCTGTAGTATTTCTTTAGTTTGATATAACAATCAACAGGTTTTGGTAGATATAACAGCATGTGTTTAAGCATTCGTCGTTTCATTGTCTTGCCTGCAATAACAGTGAAAGTGAGAAATATTTTCCTGGCAACATTCTGATCAATGCCTGATGTGGAGATTTTTTTTTTTTTATATTTCATACATCGGTGATATGTTGGATACAGCTACCTTGACATCCCTACATCTAAATTGAAAGCAAGGCCTCTGTGACTGAGTGGTCTAAGTAGTTCATGTTCTGTGAATCATCTACAGTGACCACTAGCCTGTCAGAACTGTGGTTGTGAGTTGGAATCTGGCTAATGACAGGTGCCTTAATTTATTAGGAATGTGTTAGCTCTGTGGTTCTGTCCAGTCAATCTGGCTCCCAACACCAATAAAAAATGGTCCCCATGATATAGCAAAGACTGCTGAAAGCAGTGTAAAACACCAACAATCAATCAATCAACTGATTGCAGTAAATGAGACCTTTGTTCACTCGATCATGATCTATTGACTTCCAAGTTGAAATGGTACAAAGTTTGCTTAGTTGGTGCCCTTAAATACTAGTTCTTATGATAAACCATTGATATATGGTTTCCTTTTGTATTAAAACATCTAGACATTTCAGTTTCAACAACTTCTGAATTTTACTCAGCACAAATTTTAGCCTCAGCAACTATGGCAATTACATTGTACATATTTCAGCCTGCTTTAACTAAGGAATTTTCTATTGCTCAAATACCAGCTTCAGAAACTAAGTAATCTTATTAAGTTCACTTTCACCAACTTAGGAATTATACATTGTGGAAATGTTAAGTTTTCTGGAAAGATTTGTTTAAAAAAAAAAGTAATTTTACATGTCAGTCTGGCAGGTTTCATCTGACCTTGACATAATTTTAACTGTTCATTGGTCAATGTTTAGTTTTGTATTTTGGTCAGTTTTTCTAATTCTATAAGCAATTTGTCAACTATATTTGGTGTATGGAATGATTGTAAGGTGTACATGACTGCAGACTGGCAGGTATCATATGTCCTTTACCTGATTATCTTGGTTCATTGTTTATATATCAAGTTTCAGTAGTAAGTCCTTTTCTAAGAAGATATAAGCAATAGGTCAACTAGATTTGGTATATGGAGTGTTTGTAAGGTGTTCATGTCTGTCTGGCAAGGTTCATCTGACTTTGGACTCATTTTCATGGTTCATTGGTCAATGTTGCATTTTTCTGGTTAAGTCCGTTTCTCGGATACTTTAAGCAATAAGGTCAGCTATGTTTGATGTATGGAATGATTGTAAGGTGTATATGTCTGTCTGGCAGGGTTCATGTGACCATGACCTCATTTTCATGGTTCATTTGTTATATAAAGTTTTCATGGTTTGGTCTGTTACTTGTATACTTTAAGCAATAGGTCATCTACATTTAGTGTATGTGATGATTGTAAGGTGTACATGTCTGTCTGGCTTGGTCTATTTGACCTTGACCTCATTTTCATGGATCGTTGATAAAGTTAAGTCATTGAAGTAAAAATTTGGTAAACTAAATTTGGTATATAGAATAATTGTTTATATGTACATGTTCATCTGACAGGGTTAATCACAGATACTTTAAGCAATAAGGTCAGCTATGTTTGATGTTTGGAATGATTATAAGGTGTATATGTCTGTCTGGTATGGTTCATATGACCATGACCTCATTTTCATGGTTCATTGGTCAAATGGGCGTTTTTATGAATAGATTGATTGTCCGGTACTATTCAAAAAAGCTAAAACTATTTTGGATGAATAGGATATGTATGGTGCACATTTCTGTCTGACAGAGTTCATCTGACATTGACGTCATTTTCATGGGTTATTGGTCAACTGGACGTATTTATGAATAGGTCTGATTGTCAGGTTCTATACATAAGAGCTAAAACTATATTGGATGAACAGGATATGTATGGTGCACATGTCTGTCTGACAAAGTTTCATTTTACACTGTTTGGTGTTAAGTTTTTGTGATGAAGTCCGTTCCCAGAATAATTTAAAGAACAGGTCAACTATATTTTGTATATGAAATGATTATTACATGTCCATTTGACAGGACTCATATGACCTTGATCTCGTTTTCATGATTCTTTCGTCAACTGGAAGTTTTCATGAATATGTCTGTTTTTCAGATTCTATTCATAAATGCTCAACTTTATTGGGTGTTTACAATGATTTTAAGGTATAAATATCTATTTGACAGATTTCCTCTGACCTTGACCTTATTTTCATGGTTCTTTGCTCAACAGGAGCTTTTCGTGATTAGTTTTTTTTTCAGATTCTATTGGAAAAAGCTAAGCTATACTTTGTATACTACAGTCGAGCCTGCGAAATTTATTTCTCGAAAGCGAGACATAGTGATCCTAGATTCCGGCGTCAGCGTCATCGGCGTCAACATTTAGGTTCAGTCTGTGGTTAAAGTTTTTTTTTTAGACTTCAATAACTTTGTCAAACCTCCATGGAATTTAATGAAATTTGGACAGAAGCTTGTTTATGACCAAAATACAGTATCCAGTTTTTTGACACGATAAATTTGTAAACCTTCATGGATTGTTATGAAATTTGGACAGAAGCTAATCTTCAAGACCAAGAATAACCATCTAAAGAAAAAGTTTGATTTTTTTAAAATTCTGTATTTTTACTGATAAATGGACTCACTTTTGAGTCAGCATTACAATTTTTTACTGACAGTAGCAATCGCAGGCGAGACACAGGGTTCCGCGGAACCCCTTACAAAATTTTATTCGTGAGATACCAAATTTTTGGGGATTTTGTGGGTAAAGATAAACCACGAATTTAAATGTTTAACGAAGTACAAATGTTCTATAGGCTTGTATGCAGACTTTTGCAAAACCACGAAATCAAATATGCACGAAAGTACAATGTTTTCTCAATCAACGAAAATTGGTGACCACGAAAATAAATGAATATACAGTTCTTTGCAATGTTGTACGTGTTTGTGATAAAGCGTTCGCATGACATTGGCCTTATTTCATGGTTCAATAGTCGCAGTTTAGTTTTCCTGATTAAGTCAGTTTCTATGATACTATCAGCAACATGAAAACTATGTAAGATATATAGAATGATTGTTAGGTGTACATGACCATCTGACCTTGATCTCATTTTCATGTTTATTTTGTGAAGAGGAATTTTTTATGAATAGGTTAGGTTAGCCGGGTACTATTTAAAGGCTTTAACTTTATTTGGAGTACAAATTCATTTTTTTTTTATTAAATTTGAACCTTACAGCTCATCAGTGTATACAATGAATGTAAGGTTTAAATATCTGTCTGGCAGGGTTCATCTTCTGATCTTGACCTTATTTTCATGGTTCATTAGTCAACATAAGGTTTTCGTAATTAGGTCGGTTTTCAGGTACTGTTTGTAAAAGCTTAACTAAATCGGGTGTACAGTATGTTTGTAAAGTGTACATGTCCGTCTGTTTTGGTTCATCTGATCTCTACATCATGTACATGGGATCATTGGTAATGTGAAATTTCTGATAAAACGTTATTAAGACATTACCTGTGTATATAGGTAATACGAGGATTCACAAGTGACAAGTCATCTGACAACCAATAAATTATGTCACATTTATTTTGGGGTAATTGTCTGATTAACATACGAAACAAAATAAGCGTTTAAAACCCTTTGCATTTCACCCTTAAGATTTTCAACATACAACATAAATATTATGAGTTCCGCAGGCGAGACATTTTCACATGTATACTCTCGTTTTAATTTTTAGTCTGCTTAATATTGTCTTTCAATCTGTTAGATGTCTATTTCTTCAGTTTTCTAGTTTTAAACTGCCATTTTTTTGTCTGTCTGAATTGTGCCTTCTGACTATAGGTTCTGTTTGTCGATTGATCTGTACTTTCTAGAGGTATAGGGGGAGGGTTGAGATCTCAAAAAACATGTTTAACCCCGCCGCATTTTTGCGCCTGTCCCAAGTCAGGAGCCTCTGGCCTTTATTAGTCTTGTATCATTTTTAATTTTAGTTTCTTGTGTATAATTTGGAGTTTAGTATGACGTCCATTATCACTGAACTAGTATACATATTTGTTTAGGGACCAGCTGAAGGACGCCTCCGGGTGCGGGAGTTTCTCGCTGCATTGAAGACCCTTTGGTGGCCTTCGGCTGTTGTCTGCTCTATGGTCGGGTTGTTGTCTCTTTGACACATTCCCCATTTCCATTCTCAATTTTATTTCTGTGTCTATATGCTAAGCATGTCTTTTAACTATACACCGCTCAATGCTGCTTTACCTATGTCCGTCCGTGTGTTCGTTCGTCTTATGTAAATGTCGTCGTCTATTTCTCAGGAACTATATATTACAGCTTTCCGAAATTTTCTATCAAATTGCGTGTGGGTATGGTTTGCCGTGTAGTGCGTTTTCACATCCATCAGACATCAACCTATACTGTTTATCGAATACTTATAGGGGATTTATCAATAGTGAGGTTTAGCTTACAGTACTTCTTTTTCAGCCTGTCTTTTACTATTCGTTGGTTTCCTGGTCAATCGTCCTATGCCACCAGTAAATTGGTATTTAGTAGGTTTTTTTTAAGTCTTCTGTTCACTAAAGCTCTTTGTTCCGCATGTCAATTTGTTATGTGTTAGTGGTCTGTTAACACTACTGTTTATTTGGTAACGGTGCATGTTTATCTGTACCTCTGTTTTCCGTTTACCCATGTTGCCTGAATTATACATGAATTTATATTCTTTCTACTATCTGCCAGTTGCACACGATGATTGTACGGTCCACACACGTGTATTTGACAATTCTGTATGTTGTCAGCCTTGGTATTTTATCATTTCGTCCGTAGCTTACAAACTCGTTTGACAAGATTTTATATCAGAGTGATGGCTATCGTTTGTGAGTTTGCTATTTTTTAACATAGGACTGAATTTTACATTGCTAATATCATTCCATGTTTTCATTTATCTTTGATT